AAAACGATTATCAATATATGCTGGACAGAGATTGATTCGGATGGTATATATTGATCGGAGGGGATCCGTGTTCCAAATTAAATTTTTGCATGATCTCCCCAAGGAGACTTACAAAATTTTGAGTTTGGAATTATCGTTGTGAGGTTGTGATTTTTTCAAGGTTTTGACACACAAACATATTTGTTGCATTATAACATGTATATATGTTTGATTACTAAATGTTTATGAAAGTTAGCTTATACTAGATATATGAATGTTTATTGTAGATCAAAATGTCTTCTAGCGCATTATCGTCGATACTTAATAAACACAATTTAACTGGCGAGAATTTCACCGATTGGAAAAGGAACCTAAAGATCGTCCTAACCTTTGAGAAACTGAATTTCGTACTGAATACACCTTGTCCTCTAGAGCCACCTGTTGATGCTCCTAATGAGGTTTTCGTAGCGTATCAACGCTGGAAGGACTCTGACGATATGGCTCGCTATTATATGATGGCGAGCATGTCCACTGTGCTACAAGCACAACATGAAGATTACATAACTGCTCGTCAGATTATGGATAATCTTGAGGACATGTTCGGTGGCCAAGCCGCTGAAAAACGTCGGGAAACCCTTAGTAACCTCATTAACTACAGACAGAAGGCTGGGTCTTCCATAAAAGAACATATGCTGAAGGTGATGGGCTATTTGGCTGAAGTTCAGACCAATGGGGCCGACATCGATGCTGAGTCTCAATTGACCATGATCTTTGAGACTTTGTCGAAGGAGTATATTCCGTTTAGGGCAATGTTCAATTTGAGCGCTAGACAGAATATAACCCTGACAAAGTTGATGCAAGAACTCCCAAAAGTTTGTAATCAAGGGGTCGACAATTGTGGAGGCCAACTTTGTTGAGGCATCTTCCTCCAAACCCTATTAAGGGAATGGAAAGAAGAAGCAAGTAGCTAAGAATGAGAGTTCTTCAGTTCTGCCAAATAAGGGCAAGAACAAGAAGAAGAAGAACCCGAAAAAGTTAAGTGCTTTCATTGCGGGAAGGTGGGGCACATGAAGAAGAATTGCAAAGACTACCTAGCCGCTAAAGGCAAAGGAGGTGAGTGTGATCTTTTGATTGTGGAAGCATGTCTGGTTGAGGAATCCAGTGACAACTGGGTCATAGATTCTGGAGCAACTAATCATATGTGTGTTTCTCTGCAGGGGTTCAAGCAAACGAGAAGTCTTCTAAATGAAAGCTTCACGTTGAGGATGGGCGATGGAACACTAGTGTTGGCTGAAGCAGTGGGAGACGTCCATCTTTATTTTGATAGTTATAGGAGTTTATTTTTGCGAGACTGTTTTTATGTTCCTCAATTTAAGAGGAATCTTATTTCTGTTGCTTGTTTATTTAAGGATTCTTATTCAGTTTCTTTTAATAATAAAGTTGTGATTCGTAAAAATAAGTCTTTTATCTGTGATGGATGGATGCAAAATAATCTATATTTTATCAAACCTAAGATGGACTCACTGCTAAACACTGAAGTTGTTAATAACTCTAAAAGGCTTAAAACTTCTCACTCTAATGAGACATATCTTTGGCATTTGCGACTTGGTCATATTAGCTTTAACAGGATACAGAGGTTGGTAAAGGATGGACCTTTAAGTTCTTTAAAGGTTGAGTCCTTACCCCAATGTGAATCTTGTTTGGAGGGCAAAATGACCAAAAGACCATTTGGGTCTAAAGGCAATAGGGCTGAAGATGTTCTTGAACTTGTGCACAGTGATGTTTGTGGTCCCATGAACATTAAGGCAAGAGGAGGGTATGAGTATTACGTCACTTTTATCGACGATTACTCTAGATATGGTTATGTGTACCTATTGCGCCACAAAAGTGAAACTTTTGATAAATTCAAGGAGTTTCGGGCTGAGGTGGAAAAGCAACTGGGTAAACCCATAAAGGCACTTCGATTAGATCGAGGTGGAGAATACCTCTCTGATGAGTTCACCGGATATTTATTAGAGAATGGGATTCTATCCCATTTAACTGCACCTGGCACTCCACAGCAGAATGGTGTAGCTGAGAGAAGAAATAGGACCTTGTTGGACATGGTACGGTCCATGATGAGTTATTCGACATTGCCTATATCTTTCTTGGGATATGCTTTACAAACTGCATGTTATCTTGTTAACAACGTGTCAACAAAGTCGGTTCCTAAAACTCCTCACGAGTTGTGGACGGGCAGGAAGACATCCTTGAACCATATTCGCATATGGGGATGTCCTGCACATGTCCTGGACAAGGAAGCGAACAAGTTGGAAGCACGTTCAGAAGTGTGCATTTTTGTAGGTTATCCGAGAGGGACGAAAGGGGGTTATTTCTATAATCCCAAGGAAAATAAAGTCGTGGTTTCAACGAATGCAACATTCCTGGAGGAAAGTTACATGAACGACTTTAAGCCTCGAAGCAAAATGGTGCTTGAGGAAATGTCAAGTGACTTGGTCATACCGACTGTTCCTTTAGAAACCAATCCAATCAGAGTAGAAGAGGAAACCCAACAACAACCTAAGGGGCTTCGGCGTAGTGGGAGGATCAGACATGAACCTAAGAGATTCATGGCTAATGGGGAAACCTTTTTGGCAGAATCTCTGGAACATGACAGAGATCCTTATACTTACAAAGAAGCTATGGAGGATGTTGATGCAAACCTCTGGACAGAAGCCATGAAAGCTGAGATGAAATCTATGGATTTTAATCTAGTCTGGGAACTTGTAGATCTTCCCGATGGGATTAAGCCCATTGGGTGTAAATGGGTCTACAAGAGAAAGAGAAATGCAGAAGGAAAGGTCGAAACCTATAAGGCTAGACTGGTAGCTAAGGGATACACGCAAAAGGAGGGAATCGACTTCGAGGAAACCTTTTCGCCTGTAGCCATACTTAAGTCCATCCGCATTCTCTTATCCATTGCGGCTGCTCTCAACTACGAGATCTGGCATTTTTTGAGGCCATTTTTTGCAGGCATACCTAAAAAAATTTAAGCATCATATCTGTAAAATTTCATAATTGTTTGACGTCATTTTTATTTTATTTTATTTTTCATATTTTTACTAATTATAACCTCAGATTATGTTTCATATTAAGACCCGGTTTAGACCCGCTCAAAGATTCGAAATCAGTTAGAACTGTTTTACATAATTTCCACAGAAAGAGTGCACGAATATAATAGTAATTTGCCCCCCCTAAATATCCAAATCCTACCTCATATTTATTTCCCGAAAAGAGATAATTACGCTAACTACTGAGACTAAAAAAAGTTAATTTCAACGAAAAAAGCTGCGATTGGTGCTCTTCACCTTTCTTTGTTCCTTCCCAAGGCAAGGACATTAGGTAGCAACAAACTATGAATTCCTATTTAAACATGTGATGCAAATAATACTAATGGTTTATTATAAATTTATTTCTTACCAATCTGAGAAAGCCAAACTAGAACAGTTGTACGATCTGGAATCAGGAGCAACTATTTTTAAAAGGAAAAATTTGGTAATGTAGCTAAATGGAAAAGAATATTGAAAAGGAAACAAACTTTAGAATATTACTGATATCATTTACCTGATTTAGATGTACTAACATCCTTCTATATGTCCTTAAACAAAAGAGATGTAAGACAAAACCACAGGTCAATATTTTCTGTGCCAGGTTGCACTTCACAAAATAATTACATATATATGTGTGTGTGTGTGTGTGTACGTATGTATATGTCCAGTAGAGCTTCACATCAATAGTAAACAGCATAAGTATCAAAATTAGGAGCTAGTATTGGACAAGAGCATATAGACATGGCAAAGTTCACATGAGTTTGTTCATGCCGTTTCTGTCAAGCCAACATCACTAACGAAAAATTTAGGGCATGAAAATAGGTGCATAAGACATGAGCTAAGAGTCAAGGCACACACATTATAAATAGTATATAATAAAGAAATAAACTCATGTCTTGTCAGATAAAAACACGTACAATTTATTCAGCAAAAAAACAAAAAGATAAAGATACATACATTACACTATAAAAGCAAGTTTTTTTAGCATAACTCAGCACTGAAACAACAAATTAGCTTTACAGATTAGTCCAAGCAAAACTCAAAACCAATGGCATGTTACTCATTAAGCTCTCTACTTTTCCTCCTTTTAGCATTCCTGATGCTATCAGCTAGTTCAAATGCTGGCAAAATTGCTATCTATTGGGGGCAGAATGGAAATGAAGGTACTCTATCTGAGACTTGTGCCACAGGAAACTATGACTATGTGAACATAGCTTTTCTACCAACTTTTGGCAATGGCCAAATTCCGACGATCGACCTATCCAGCCACTGCGACCCGTCCAGCAGTGGCTGCATCGGTCTAAGCTCCGACATAAAATCATGCCAAGCAAGAGGCATCAAGGTCATCCTCTCCATCGGAGGAGGCGCGGGAAGCTACTCTCTCGCCTCCTCCTCCGACGCCAGGCACGTCGCGACTTACCTTTGGAACAACTTCTTAGGGGGACACTCGCCTTCTCGCCCGCTCGGGGCAGCCATTTTGGATGGAATTGACTTTGACATTGAAGGAGGGACAAACAAGCACTGGGGTGAACTTGCAAAGTACCTCAAAACGTACAGCAAAAAGGATAATAAAAAAGTTTACTTAACTGCAGCCCCTCAGTGCCCTTTCCCTGATGCTTGGATTGGAGATGCTCTTAAAACAGGCCTTTTTGACTACGTTTGGGTTCAGTTCTACAACAACCCTCCTTGCCAATACACGTCTAGTGATCTTTCTAACCTTGAAAATTCATGGAAAAAGTGGATTTCCGATGTCCCAGCGAAGAAGATCTTCCTTGGCTTGCCTGCTTCGCCGCAAGCGGCTGGCAGTGGATTCATCCCAGCTGATGATCTTGTTTCCAAAGTTCTTCCGGTTATTACGGGCTCTTCTAAGTATGGAGGAGTAATGTTGTGGTCCAAATATTATGATGACCAAACTGGATATAGCTCTTCCATTAAGAGCCATGTCTGAAAATTTTATGACTTTCTTACGTATCTTTGGATATATTCTATCAAACTATGCTAGACTTATCTCAAAATTTCCTGTACTTTCTGTTTCTTTTCTGTTCTTCTTTAAAAGCAATTATCTATTCTAATTTCTCATTTAATTTGCTTTATATAAATCAAAACAGAAAAAATCTCCATAAGTTGTAACTTTGATACTTTTATTATACGTTAATTTTGAGCATTTTAAGTACATGTGCATCATGAGATTGATTAGCAATTTTTGACCGTTTTAATCATGTGTAAGATCACCTGATGAGCAAAAAAATTAAAATCGTTAAAAAATTAAAATCGTTAAAAAATTAACATCTAAATGACGGAAGTATTAAAATTACAACTTACAAAAAGTTTAGGAAGACTTCTCTGTCATTTTGAGCTAAAAGTGAGAAGGTGATACAATCTCTAGTCTTCTAAGGTAAGGGGATACTTCTAAGTTTTAAGTTTTAACTACTTAGGGCCTATTTGAAAGGAATACTCAAATCATGATTCTTGATTCTGACGTTTGAAATTTAAATTTTTTATGAGAGAAAAATACTGTAACATAATCAATGATTTAAGTTTGAGTATATGTAACAAACGGACCCTCAAAGATCGCCAATTAGCCGAATTTGAAATAGAAACACAGCTCGTGACTAATCTCTATAGGAGTGAAATAATCAAGGTCTATTTAATTTATGCGTTTGATTTTAACATTTAAAATTTAAATTTTTTATAAAAAGAAACTACTATAACAAAATTAAAATTATAAATTTAAACGTATAAAATAAACGGACCGTGTTTATACGCTTCTAAGGGTGTGCCCTATCTAACCATATTGGCATGGTTGGGCCTGAAAACGACATTTCTGTCCAGTTGGATGACATGACTTGTTCCTTGTGCTTAAATAAGGAAATTTCCGTGATCAGCACCAAAAAAAAAAAAAAAAAGTTTCTGCAGGACCACAATTGTTCTGTACTGAAAGAACATATAATATGCTAGAAATCTGTAGCATAGTAAGTCACAAACCATGTTAACTTCCAAGTTTTAAAAGTATAATTTATTGTTTGAATTAAAATTATTTAAAGGTGTTACAAGTTAAAACATACGGATCCTTATAGGATCCTTATTATACCATATAGGATCCTTCCTACTTTTTGCCCATTATTATACCATATAGGTCCTTCCTAAACATTAAAGTTAAAACAATTGTTTTGGTGACTTCAAAAGTAATAAAAAAACAATTGTTTTCGTAATTAAACTGGATTTGCCAGAAAACACTGTAATAAGCTTTACAAATTTTTAAGGGGTGTTGTAAATTTTACTTGATTTATCAATTTCAAAGGGTTTTTTCTTTTTTCTTTTTTTTCTGGAAGTGATTTCAAAGGTTTTAATTAATTAGTATTAAAATTTTAGGTATAGTATTTGTAGCAATTGTCACTAAAGTAATTAAGGTAAAATACATCATGATATATAATCTTTTGTACCGTTTATTCAAACATCTCGAAAATAAATCAAAACTTTGAGATAAGTCTAGCAGGAGTTATGTAAATCAAAACAGAAAAAAAAAAATCTCCTTACTTTTATTATTTATACATTAATTTTGAACATTTTTAAGTACATGAGCGTCACGAGACTGATTAGAAAAGGTAATTTCTGACCGTTTTAATCATGCGTAAGATCATCTGATGAGCAAAAGAATTAAAATCGTTGAAAAATTAGCATCTCAATTATAGAAGTATTAAAATTACAATTTAAAAAAAAAATTAGGAGGAGTTCTCCATCATTTTGAGCTAAAAGTGAGAAGGTGATACAATCTCCAGTCTTCGGAGGAATCTGAGGTAAAGGGATATTTCTAAGTATTAAGTTTTAACTACTTAGGGCCCATTTGAAATGAATATTCAAATTATGATTCTTAATTTTGAAGTTTAAAATTTAAATTTTTTATAAGAGAAAAACACGGTAACAGAATCAATAATTTAAGTTTGAATATATATAACAAACGGATCCTCAGAGATCGCCAATTAGCCTAGTTTAAAATAGAAAAACAGCTCGTGACTAATCTATATGGAAGTAAAATAATCATGGCATGTTTAGTTTATGCATTTAAATTAGCGATTTTTTATTCTGATATTTAAAATTTAAATTTTTTGTAAAAAAAAAATATTATGACAAAATTAAAATTATAAATTTAAATGCATGAAACAAACAAATCCTTAATGCGTTCGATTATATGGTTCTGAGGGTGTGCCTCTCTAATGGCATGGTTGGGCCTGAAAACGACATTTCTGTCCAGTTGGATGACATGACTTGTTCCTTGTGCTTAAACAAGGAAATTTCCATGATCAGCACCCCAAAAAAAAAGAAGGAAGTTTCTGCAGGAGAACATATAATGTGCTAGAAATCTGTAGCATAGTACGTCACAACCCATGTTCACTTGCAAGCTTTAAAAGTATAATTTATTGTTTGAATTAAAATTATTTAAGGGTGTTACAAATTAAAACATATAGGATCCTTATTATATCATATAGGATCCTTCCTACTTTTTGCCCATTATTATACCATATAGGTCCTTCCTAAACATTAAAGTTAAAACAATTTTTTGGTGACTTCAAAAGTAATAAAAAAAAACAATGTTTTCGTAATTAAACTGGATTTGCCAGAAAACACTGTAATAAGCTTTACAAGTTTTTAAGGGGTGTTGTAAATTTTACTTGATTTATCAATTTCAAAGGGTTTTTTCTTTTTTCTTTTTTCTTTTTTTTTTTTTTTGAAAGTGATTTCAAAGGTTTTAAGTAATTAGTATTAAAACTTAGGTATAGTATTTGTAGCAATTGTCACTAAAGTAATTAAGGTAAAATACATCATGATATATAATATTTTGTACCGTTTATTCAAACATCTCGAAAATAATTTTTAAATTAATTTTATGGATCTTTCTACGGTAAGACTTTTTATTGGTATTACTTGTTTCTTATGGTTAGTTCTATTCAAAATCATATAAAAAATTTACAAAATATGTAATTTTTAATACAGATATAACGGTTAAAAATAGAGAACTACTTACAGTTATTTTTTTCAAACTCTCCTAATTTCAATTTTATTTCCAACATGCCAAGCCACATCCCACCAAACACAGTCATATGCAATTAAAGGCAATTCTCTTAGTGGCCAACTTGTGAAGAAGGTTCTTTGCTTTGTGTGAAGCAGGCCTCCCTTGAGATAGGGGTCAACGACCAACCCTTTGGCAGCTAATTGCTGGGTCTAAGAAAGACCAATCTCAAAACCTTATTTTCTTGTAGTTGTTTTTTTGTCACTTTCCACTACTGACTATTTTCTCAAGTCACAAATGCAATTCCACAAACCATTTAAGAAAAAACGACAAAGTAGAAAGGGAACTATAATTGAGGATGTTAAAGAAGCTATTTCTCATGCTACTAGTGAATCTGCTTTGCTACATTTTCAGACAAGGGAACTCTGTAGTATACTGGATGGCTAATTTTGCGTGTACGCTTTTTAGAGATGTTATCTGAGTTGATTCTCTGTCAGATTTTATTACAATTGAGTAATAAAGTTCGTTTTTTCTTTAAAAAAAACGACAAAGTAGAAAGAGAATAAAAAGATAAAATAAAATAAGAGTTTACTATAAGAATTTTACTTTTTATTATGTATTTTAACTATTGGATTAAACCATTTTCACTATTCACATTTGACAATTGGCAAAACAATAGAGTGGTGAATAACAACAAAATTGGGGCATTTTGAGGTCTAGAAGAATTTCATGAGGGTGTGGAAAATTGTTTTGTTTCTTAGCAGGTACCCCATTCGTTAATCCACAACCATTAGTAGAAAACAAACCAGGTTGGAAAAGAATGTACCTATCAGCCACGGACCCTAACAAAAAGACAGTCATAGAGGGGTTCTTGTTTCTCCTATAAAAAGACATTTTCCTTTTGCCAACACCATAATTTAACCAACACAACAAAACACATTCTAAAAATTCTACAAACAAAGATGGCCACGAAGTTGACAATCTCACTAGCATTGCTCGGTTCACTAATTCTAGCATTGGTGATCAAATCTGAGGCTGGAAAAATTGCCATCTATTGGGGTCAGAACGGTAACGAAGGAACTTTGGAAGAAACTTGTGCAACTGACAACTATGACTATGTTAACATAGCTTTTCTCCCAACCTTTGGCAATGGCCAGACTCCAATGATCAACCTCGCGGACCATTGTGACCCATACACCAATGGCTGCACCGGATTAAGCTCCGACATAAAATCTTGCCAAGCGAAAGGCGTGAAAGTACTGCTTTCTCTTGGAGGAGGGGCTGGTAGCTACTCACTTGCCTCTTCTGAGGACGCTAGGCAGGTTGCAACTTATCTTTGGAACAACTTCTTAGGGGGGAGTTCGTCGTCTCGCCCACTTGGGGACGCTGTTTTGGACGGTATTGACTTCGATATTGAAGGAGGAACAAACCAACATTGGAATGAACTTGCCAAGTACCTTAAAAACTACAGCAAAAAGGGCAAAAAGGTTTACATAAGTGCAGCCCCTCAGTGCCCTTTCCCTGATGCTTGGATTGGAGATGCACTTAAGACTCACTTTTTCGACTATGTCTGGGTTCAGTTTTACAACAATCCGTCTTGCCAGTACTCCTCCGGGGACATAAGCGGTCTCGTGAATGCATGGAAGCAGTGGACTTCAGATATTCCTGCCAAGAAGATTTTCTTAGGACTGCCCGCCGCTCCTGAAGCTGCCGGAAGCGGCTTTATTCCTGCGGACGATCTCTCTTCTCAAGTGCTTCCCGCAATTAAGGGTTCTTCAAAGTATGCAGGAGTTATGCTGTGGTCTAAGTACTATGATGACCAAACCGGATATAGTTCCGCCATTAAGAGCCATGTCTAGAAGTCTAAATTACTGTTTCACTGCCATGTTGTGCGAGATTGTATTTCTTCTATATGTATTACTACAGTCTATAAGAATTTGCACTTTTGTTGGTTGTTACATATAACTGTCACGTCTATGCTCTTCTCCTAAGAAACATGGAATTTTTATTTAGGATAATTTAGTATCGGTTTCATCCAACAAGATCAAAAGGAGATATGACTATGGGCCCCAAATCCTCTGTTTTCAACTTCTATACCGATTGTTGAATTATAAACACCAACCAAAGGACGAAACATTGCGTAAGAAAATGTCTACCAAATAGTTTGCAATGTCAATCTCCATAAATCAATTAACCAAAAGAATAAAGCAATAAACATAGATGAAATCACTGCTAAGTAAATAGATAATGGATTTCTATTAAACTCAAGAGTATGCAGTAAACAAAAATGATAACATGTTCAAGGCCGCAAAGAATTGACAGTCATCATCAAAAGCTCATCAGAACTTATTAAAGGGAAAAAAAATAATTATCAAATACTGGTGTGAAAAAAAAAAAAAAAAAGGAAAATAAGATCTTGAAAATGCCTCTCCCTAATATTGTAACACTCTTCAGCCATGAGTATTAACAGCTTCCCAAACCAAGTTTTTGGGAACAGGGTTACTCAGATCCCTAGCCTGAAGGGCAGCATTCCTCAGAGTCCGAATGGTGGAAACATTGGCATCCCAAAAGGACAAACTCCTGTAAGGCAAATTGTGCTTCTTGCAAAGGTCCCTCACAATAGGAGAGATCTTCCTCAGTTGGCACCGCGGCAAGCGCGGGAACAAGTGATGCTCGAGCTGAAACTGCAGCCCTCCATGAAACCAATCCATCCAAGGCGAGCAAGCAATGTCCAGAGTCCCGCTCGTCTGCTTCTGGAACCAATCGTTCCCGCTTGGTGCTCCGAGGTAAGTGTCCGCGGAGAAATGGTTCAAGCAGAACTGGATGTGCTGAACTGATGTCACTACGAAGCTGATAAGAACAAACAAAATCCTCTCCTGCCAATTGGGTAAAAAGGAAACAAGGAGAGGAAACCAAGTCCAAAACACAAGGATCCCCATTATGTTGAATGCTCTATCTGGCACATTCCTTCTTGAGAACAAGAGCAAAAATGTCTGTATAAAGAGATTGATCCTCCCCACACACATAACAGGATAAAATGTCAAGTGCTGATAACTAACCAGGAATCTGGACAGAGAATCAAACTTCAACTTCCTTCCATAAAAACACGATGTAATCGAATGGAACAGACTTGAGGAGACAGCAAAGACAGGAATGTGTTGAAGATCCGGATCATGGTCAAGGCTATTGCAGGCAATATGGTGGGCATTATGAGTCCATTTCCACCACGCAATGCTGATCCCAGTAAGGCAATTCCCAGCCAAAACCTGACCCAACCTGTTGTATTTCGGGCTGGTCATGACCTGGTAATGCCCGGAATCATGACCCACAAAAGCACTCTGAATCCACAAAAACCCCAACAAGAAACCGCAACCCATATGCACCCAAAAACTCTCACAACACAAAACTCCATAAAAAGCAATAAAAAGCATAATAGCTACACAAGTCAAGGAGCACATAATCCCATGACCCTTTTTCTCAAACAACCCAAGTTTCGAAAACTCGCTAGCAAGCCTTCTGTAGTCTTTGGAAATCTCTGAGACATTGAAATCGTTGAGATAATAGCCAGTGAAGAACTTGTCGAGATATTTCCAGGCTGTGCCCGGATGGTAGGCTATGAAAGCGTCAGTGACATCCCGACCAGCCAGATTCAGGAGAGGCGCATCCCCGCCAGGGTGATCCTTAACCCACTCAGAGACATCATAAACCTTACCCTGGATAGAGATCCACAAATCCCCTGGCTTGTTGTGATCTTTCAGCTCCTCAGAAGTAATGAACTTCTTCTTCTGCTTCTCACCCTCCATTCTGAATCAAAAAAACACAAAAACCAAATAATAATAACAGATCCACAAATCAAAACCAAGGATATTTGGCCCCTTTGAGAGTTTCTCTTTAAAGGGATAGTTTTTTTTTTCTTTTTAGGAAAAAAACAAGAACCCCATTAACGTTCGGGACGTCTTTTCTTGTTTTTGATTTGGGATTTTTGTTTGCCTTTGCGGTTTGTGTTTGTTGTTTGTTGTTTGGATTGTTTTGGTGTGGTTTTAAGAACGGAGTGTCTGTTTGTTAAGAGGCTTTTTTTGTATGTGATTAAGCGAATCACGCGCTGAAGCCGTTTCTAAAGAACTTCTCTAAAGACTTTGTATTGAGGTGAGGAGACGCGTTGAAATTTTACTTGGATTACATGTAGGTCACTTTTGAGTTTATGAATGTTTTTGTGAGCATGGGCTGGGACCCAATTTTCAGGTCAGACAGAGCATCTATTTCTACCGACTCCTTCGAGAAACAAGAGCATTTTGAGCCTCAGATTTTTATATTACTTTTTTAATTTTTTTCTGTGAGATATTTTGGGGTAAGCGTAAGCGGGGGGGGCCTCATGTGCCGACCGGCGAGTTGACGATATAAATTTATAATTGTTAAATGAGGCAACACGAAAATAGGTATATACTCCGAATTCTTTCAATATCCTTTTCTTTTTTTAAAAGAAAAATTATTTTTTGTTTTTGATAGATAGAAAGATTTTTTTTTTTTAAAATGAAAAGATAGAGACTATTTTTTAAGTTTTTATATTTTTTTTTTTTAAATATCCGTGTTATCTATTTTTTAACTGTTAAATTTATATTAAATTTAATTATAAATTAAATTAAATTAAAAAAATAATACAAATTTAATAACTATTAAGTAAAAAAAATACCAGTATTTTTAAAAATATAGAAGACGCCAAAAAAATTCTCTTTAAAAAAAAAAAAATTGCAAATTGTCACTGCCTCATTATTTGAAATGCGACCTTTTTCTTTTCCTTTTCTTAGAAGAAAATTGTTAGTGACTTTAGTACTTTCCAATAAAAGAATCCCCCGTGGTATGGTAATTATATCCGTAAATACCCACAAACTTTAGTACTTGTCGTTTTCGATGAAAATATCTCCCATGTGGTATGATAATTACACCCATAAATATCCACAACTTTTCAAACAGGATATTTTAACTACATCTACATCCCTTTTATTTCATCCTTACTTTTAAACGAAAATATCTTAATCCCCCATTTGGTTATTTTAATAGCATTCATAAATATCCGCCACTTTTGGCATTTTAATTATATTCATAAATTTTTTAAGATATTTTTCTTTTGATTGAGGACAGGTGATTTGAATCTCAAACGTAACATAAAGACATGTATTTAAGCATATCTCCAACAGCAATATTCATGAGTTTTAAAATAAGGATTTTAGTTATATTCTGTTATATCTTTTTCGAAGTGACAACGTATCTATTATTCTTACTTTCAAAGAAAAACAATCTATTATTCTTCCATCATAAAGAGAAACAAAATTATCTTATTACGTCATAACGAGCAATATTTTTTGCGTATCAAGGAACAAAATTATTTTGTTTTACATAAATTGTTTTTTCGTACTTCGAAATGACATGTCTCATAGTCTATTTTTCAAAAAAAAAAAAATGTTGCAAGGTTTCTTTATGTGGGGAACTATTTTTTTTTTTTTTTTACTTTTGACTTTTGTTAATGTAATTTTTCTTTTTTAAAGAACATGTGGTATAAAGATTACTTTATTAATAGGATAAATTCTGATCCATTAATAGAAATTAGCAAAACTTGAGAAAGAATCATATTTTATCAATAGATTTAGAAAAAAAAAAATTGCTGTAAGATATGATGAAATACATTACTAATAGAGTTGTGTTTTAGATCATTAAAAATCAGCTTTCATAAAAATCATTAATAATTCATCTTTTTTTTATCCGTTAAATTTACATAAAATCACATAAAAATTAAAAAATATTAAAATATATATATAACAATTAAAAAAACTCTGACATACCAATAGCGTATCAAAAAATTTCCCTTAAAAGTTTACATAAATTTTTTTTTTTTATGTTTTTCCCTTTTACTCGTGATTTATTAATGCACCTTTTTCATCAGATTTTGATATGTTATTAGTAGACACTTTTTATTTCATCCTGTCATAAAATTCTCCCTTAATTAAGCGCTAAGAAAGTCGCCGTGATATTTTATGGGTTGTTCTTTTAGAGTGTAATTTGAGTATAATTTTTAAGTTGAATTCTAGTTATAACTTGAGTTGAAGACGGCCTCGTTCACTTCGCTGATTCGAGTTTATAATTCGAGTTGAGATGTAACTTTATGTGAGAGCTTTTTACTGTAGCAAAAAAGTTAGATATGATTGTTTATTAGAGCTTTTTACTGTAGAAAAACTCAAATTTTAAACTCGAATCAGCGAAGTAAACGGAGTTTGTAACTTGAATAAAATTGAGTAAAGTTAAATAAAATTAAAATTTAAAAAAATATTAATTTAAATAAAATTAAAACTCAAATTATTTTTTTTAAAATTTTTTTTTTGACAAAAGAACGTGCCCTTATTTTCTTCTCCGCAATTTTATGCACGTTCCAAATCTTGCATTTGAAGCCACGTCTTGCCAATTAGCCAACCGACAAAAATAATCCAAGTCCTGATTGGCGATTTCTCAATGGAGAATAGTCATGAAAGCTGCTAGCATAGAAGGAAACAAGATGAATTATTATTATTATTATTTTTATTTTTTTACTTTTTTAAGAAAGGCCAGCTGGGATGGGTGATGAATGATGATTCCCGGTCAGAGTCGCGTCACACCGACCTTGACAACCGTGCCATCCTGGCACCTGGGTTTAAAGGGACTTGCTTTTCTTACATCCACTTCACGTTGAAACCGTATGCAAAGTGCAAACGGTAAAAAATGAGACCAAATCCTTCGAGTTGCACTCCAATTCGATTTTATGAATCGCATAATGAGAATTTCATATTGCAGAAATTCCCTTGTTTGATATGAAAAAAAAAAAGTGCGAACTTATATTTATCGATTAATGAACTAATTGATCAATAATTAGATAGGGAAATTAACTAAAATAATGACTAATATATAGACTTTACAACTCATAAAAATTAGATTTATGCTATAAGACACTGATAGTATTGAAGTATCACTCACCGATAGAAAATCGATCTTACAGCATGAGATATTATGGCCGACATTTATTAATAATGATGCTTAACACTGATGGCGCCTTTAAAATATTTTTTTAAAAATAGTATATTCAGAGAAAATGTGGGAACAAGAAGTGAGAAGTGATATTGTTAAAAGAACTGTTTGTGTGCTCTATAATTGGCCTACCTACATTTAGTTTTCTGATTTTGGAACCCTACTAGCATTTTGATTTTGTGAGTTTTTAATTGGGCTATTTAAAAAAACGTCTATTTAGAGCACTCTGAATCTAAAAATGTATACCTATTTGTTTATTTATAAAACTATCCACTAGTATATGCACAAATACGTTTATATCTTTATATAATGAAAAAAGAGAAAAATAATGAAACTAACAAAATAGGAAAGTTTTTAAAATAAAATCATAATTTGATTTTAGATAAAAAGTGAAATGAAATTTGAAAATTACATTTAATGAAAGCTGCTTATTAAGTTTCTCTAAATAAAACAATAAAAGCATCACATTTTTTTTAAAAAAAAGAATGGAAATGAAAAAAAAAAAAAAAAAAAAAAGGCACCCTTCCACCGCATCTCCATCGTCCTCTATAAGCAACAGCCGTGCACAATTTGTAAATATATAAAAACAAGATTAATGTATGCATTTTCATCAATATAATGATAAATATCATTATGGAATCAAACTTGTAAAACATAAGAAACGCAAAAAAAAATGTATTTAAGAATAAGCATTTTTATTATTTTAACAAAGACATCATTGTTTTACCGAATATAAAAATTAGTAAAAAATTTGAAACAAAAAATAATACATGAGGTATGAACTCATAAAAAAAGATTTTTCATTACTGCAATGATAATATCATTACAGACAAGAATGAATATAACAGTCCGCAATAAAATAACAATAATTTCCAACAAGTTCTTAAAATATGAAAGATCAAAAATGTGATGACTTAATCTTCATTATCAAAATGAATATCATAAGTAAAAATACATTAAAAAAAGGATAATAAAGAATAGAATATGTATTTTCATTAACATAATGATAATATCATTATGAAATAGAACTTGTAATATATATATAAAAAAAACACGAAAATGTATTCATCAATAAGCATTTTCATTATTTTAACAGACATATCATTATGAAAGATACTGAATATAAAAGTTTGTACGAAATTTAAAATAATAAAAATACACGACACATAAATGCATAAAGAAGACATTTCATTACTATAATGATATCATCATTACAAATAAGAATGAATATAAAGTGAAAAAATAACAAAATTGAATCTAATACATGAATGCATAAAGAAGACATTTCATTACTATAATGATATCATAATTACAGACAATAATGAATATAAAGTGAAAAATTAACAAAATTGAATCCAATACATTAAGTGGTATATAGGAAAATTAAATTGGCTTACATTTTACAACTTTTTCTCTCATTCACCTCTTTTTAGTTGCCCAACAAGGATCAGCTTTGGAGCTAGATAATTCAAACATGGACATAGAGATCGCCATCAATAGAAGAACCCATTTCACAGATTTGCGAGACAACATGTTTAGCAATTATATTTTTGAGAGAGAAAGGAAAGCAGGTGTTCTAGGCGACTAATGCGAGTAAACCAAATCAAGGGTGACAATCCGTGTTAGTGAGTCGTGTTCGTGTCAACCCGTTTATTAATCGTGTCAGAAAACATCAACCAAAACACGACTTGTTTATTAAACGTGTCAAAAATGTCAACCCGAACGCGACTCATTTATTAATCGTGGTAATCGTGTCAACCCATATAACATGTTTAAATTAATATATTGAATAAATAACTAATATAATAATGACTTATTTAACATGGTCAAGACAGGTTTAACATATTTATTGGTTAATTTATCTTTTTCTTTAAGAAAAATAAATATATTTTAACCTATAAATATTAAAATTCACATTATTTGTATTTAATATGTCATATAAACTTTCATGTTATATCACATATCATTATATTGATGATAGATATAGTTAATCGTGTTAATTTGTGTCACTTCGTGTTCGGAGATCAACCCTAACACAACTTATTTATTAATCGTGTCAACCTGATTATGACCCAAACTCATTTATAATAAACACAAGCCCACTAACTTCGTACGGGTTTCAAATCGTATCGCTACTTGGATTGTCAGCCCTAGACCAGATGCCAGCGGACAAAATGCAGTGATATTTTTTTTATAAAAAAAACAAGGGGGAGGGAAACTCCTAATTTAAAAAACCATATCAAGAATAAATCAATTTAATTGATAACAAAATATTAAATGAGATAAAAAGAAAATTCAAATTCTTAAAATAATCAGAAAAAATAATCTTATATTATTATGAAAAACATATCATATATGAAACATGTTCAAAATAAACTATAAGGAAAATTTTGGTATAATATATTCTTTATTAAAAACAAATGGATATTTCTATAGTATTGTATAACAGTAAACATTTTTAAATGGAGGCCTTTAGTAGAAATTTTACTTCGTTTTCATTTGAATTTATAGGTGATATAAGCAGGTGATATCTGCTAATATTATTGGAGGTTGAGTTTTCAAGTTGTGTACATCGATATTAGTGTTGGTACTTCTTTAATTATCTCAAACAACTATCTCGGTATCTCCTCTCAAAAATGGTGTGGAACCTGATTATTTCCTAGATTTCCGGCCTACAATAACACCGGCACGAGTTTCGATTTAATTTTCACGGGCCGATGTAAAATGAAGCCCACGGGCTAGAAACGGGCTCGGGCTTGATAGCAATTATAATAAAACAGAAGAAATAGAGAATTTACGGAGCCTAGACTTTTTACCTTTTATTTTTAATAAATATCTCTAGACTTTTATTTTTTATTTTTAATAAATATTTTTTTATTAATGTAATTATTTAACTAAAAAAATTATAAATTAAGAGTAAAAAATAAAAATCTTAACTCACATATTTTAAAAATTATTTGTTAAGATTATTCATTATGATTAGAGCATCTCCAACCCTTTAACCAAAAACAAAAGGTGGTAACTTTCACACCAAAATAGTGTAACTTTCACTTCAAATAATAAATTCATTTCCAACCCATTGCACCACTCTAATACCAATCCATATATATATATATATATATATTCTTTTTTGCAAATTTAAAAGAAAAAAAAGATAAAAACTACTGTAAAATTTGGTGTTGAGTGAACAGTGGAAACTCATATTTGGGTTTTTACTGTTCAACCCACCTGAATTAATACTAAACTGGTGTGAAAATTGGTGCTCGGTTGGAGCTATTCTCCAACGCCATTCATGCTTTTTCACACCATATTAGCGTGTGTCGGAGAAGCTCTTAGATAAAATATATTGGTACTTGTTATTGGGATAAAATATATTAGTGAAGATATAATGTCTATTAACAAATCTTATACTATCGAAAACAATCCCCTGTTTTATTTACTAATTCTGATTGAATTTTTTTCTATGCTCTCTACGCTTATTAGAATTTAAATTTTATTCCCGATTTATATAAACATTTTAAATGCACATTCAAATATTAATCCAAACTGCATTTTAAACTATACAATAAAAATTTTTGAGTGCATATAAAAAAATTCAAATTAACAAAATTTGAACCAATAAATTAAAGAGGGCTAATATAACGTAGTTGTAGGCATAGTCCCACAATCTTTTTTTTTTCTTTTAAAGAAATTATTTTGTAAACACGATTTGTTATTAATAACTTAATTAGAATCATTCAGGAAGATCAACATACATGAATCTCAATACTTTTTATACAAAACTAATCTAGAGCCCGTTTAGTTCACTGATTCGAGTTTTCAATTCGAATTGAGATGTGACTTTATGTGATAGCATTTTACTGTAGCAAAAAAGTATGTGACTGTTTTTAAGAGTTTTTTACTGTAGTAAAACTTGAATTGGTAAAACAAACGTGGTCCTAGTTATTTACTGTTAAGTGATAGATAAACTAATCTAATTAGTCTTTTGTTTGTGGTATCCAACATTTTCCATTGCTATTAGTTGTTATTAATTTTGCATTTTTACTCAAAACTTCTATGTTTATGCATGTTGTAATTACTAAAAATACGAAGACTTGCATTCGGTACTAATTCATAGAAAGGGAATTATCATTTTGGTACCATGAAAAAAAAAACTATCAAATAATCGCAAAATCCGTCTCAACTTACAACGAGAAGCAAGATGGCGTCGACAAGCTCCAGAAGTTCAAGCTACACCAAGATCATCCGCGCCTTGTCATCCCGCCACCCAAACCTGAATTTCTCAAGAGCTTCAAATCTAACATTTGGTAAACATGGAATGCAATCGAACCAGCTACCAAGAACTCATGATAATATTATTTGATTTTCTTGATCTTTGTTAAGTGATTGTTGAGCTGATTAAAACACAGACTAATCTAAGATCTTCTCTTAAAGATATTGTTCAAGATTTTATTGTGGATGGAGAATCGTGCGTTCTAAGTTTTCAAGAAAAATTATTTTATTTATTGCGAGTTTATTTTATGAAAGTTCCTATCTCATTGGATGAGAATGATGCTTTTGCTTCAGGCATCCCATGATCTTGTCAGTGTCCTGCTAATATAAAAAAATATAAAATTTAACTTTAAAAACGTATAAATCTAGACCTTTACCTCTTATTTTTAATAAATACATTTTTATTAGTGTAATTATTTAACTATAAAATATTATAATAAAAATTAAAAGATAAAAATCATGATCCATACACGTACACTTTTAAGAGATATATGTGAAGATATCATCCTGTTAATATTCATGATTTCTCTTTTTATTCATTCATAAAATGTCGCATCTGCATCGAGAACAACATACAAGAAGGTACAATTCTTGAAAATGACAACTTGCAATCAAGACTATACAAATATACAACGGCATATATAATATTGCATTTATCTCAATACTGTTTAGCTGAATTTTAGTAACTGTTTTACATGACTTACGGCCTATATTGCTCGTGCTTTGCCAAGTTGAGAGCGGAGGCTACGAATTGAGTGATATTACCAGGTCAATACAGACCATAAGGCTAATTACCAGCCTCAAGTACAGCACCAGCCTTTGTCAACTCACATAGTATTCGACAATCTAAACATCAGGAACTGATGCAAAGCTCTAGCTCTATCTTTACTCAACCATATGAACACGTCATTACTCCAAAATTTTGATGCAAGTTTTGCAACACTAACTTCCCCTTGATGACGAAGATGGTGAAATTTCAAAAAATGTTGGTTTTGGGGTCTGGGGGCAGCCAAGAGATTGGATTATATCCTCTACACCCAGAACCTTGAACTTTGGGGGTGAAACTATGTTATCAACACGATGCTCAAAAATCTTCCCTTTCTTGTCAAGCTTGTATGCGGAGGTGCCATCAAATCGACCACAACTCTCCCATGGAACTCGTGGGATTCCATGGACAGTCCAGCGAACCATTATGACATTCTCCACAGGCTGCCACACGCTGCTCATCTCAACCCATAAGGCCTTAAAAAATATTCTTCCATGGAATCGTAAAGCCCAGAAGATGGACTTATAATTCTCAATACCCACAAAAGTATTAAGAGGATCTTTAAATATGATGTCGTCCCTACAAAAGATAGAGGGACAGAAAATAGAAATTATTTTACAAAAAAATAATGTGATATTAAAGCTTCTCTGAAAGGAAAAGCGAGAAAAATCACACAGAGATTCATATAACTTTCCTTCCCATGAAACAAATAACACTTGCAATACAATCAAACATCACTTATGAGAACCTAACACAGACTTCAATAGCACACATAACTACTCTTATCTGCAACAACAACAATAAACTGAAAACGCCTTACAAAACAGAAAGTACCAATACTGTGATGTATTAGAGGACATCATCACAGGCAAAAAATGATAACATTTACAAATTTGAGAACGTGCCTCTCGAGTTACCCATAAACCAACATTAGTATCCAAAACTACACGAGTAAATGAGAAATTACCAGACATATCGAAATCTATACCGATTACCACCATGGCATGCAAGAGAAAAAACAAACAGATTTTTACGTAGTTAAAATCAATAATCTGGCTTTCCAACCTCATCAGTCATGATATTTGGATGAACAAGTCTCTGCTTCTCTTCAAGGAAATCTCAAGTAACCGTATATAGTATATACAATTATACGTGCAAAAAGCACGAGTATGTATATGTCTAATTCATCTAATTACACGCAATGAAAATTTTCTTTAGAAAGTCAAGTTTCCTGGTTTGAAAAGTGTTGTTCTGTCTTGTAATTTCTCAGCAACCAAACAGAAGGGACCATGCAAAAACCATCAAACTGCAAACTATTGCTAATAATATACACAAATATGTGATATATGTACAAAATAGGAGATAATCTTCCAAAAATTAATTCATTTTCTTCTACCGCAGGCGCAAATGTAGTAAATGGAAGAGCTAAAGAAAATAAAAAATAAAACCTGAAAATGTCGAAGCTGAGCTCTCTGTAGAATAGCTCGGGAAAATCCTCTCTGAGAGTCCGGATCGCATAACCCATGTTCACGTAGTAATTCTGCTTCTCTTCTTCTTCTTTGCTCGGCTTCGAACTTTGCTTCACTGGAGCCGAAAACAGTCCGTACAGCCTCAGATTCTGATCCCCTTCCGAAACCCTAACCTCGCAATCTTTAACTCTAGCGCAAACCCTAACCCTGAAATTCGACCCAAATTTCTTCTCGTTCGTGAAAATTTTTATGCTCTTGAGCTTTCCAGGAATAGGGTTTGGGCAACAGAAGACCCTAGAAATTTCCGGCGAAGGGACGAGAAGGGCCATGGGGGAAAACTCAGGTTTTCAATCGGAGTTTTGGGTCAGAAATGGTCGGAAAGTGCCATTTTCTTTTTCTAGGGAAAATGGAGAGGGAAAATTATCTCCTTTTTCTTTCTTGGGGATTTTCTTGGCTGTCGAGAGAACGAGACGGTGATGGGGAAAAATCTGTTTGGATAATATTCAAGTTATATTTTGGATAATTGGACTTATCGGTAATTAAAATAGGCGAAGAAAATATTTTGATTGGCTAAGCGGTGGTATACACGACACGAGTGTGTGCTCCCGGATATAATTAAGTTAATTTTGTAGGGGATTGTATGGTGTAGGTGAACTTCACGGAGTGAAGCTAAAATAGCCTATCACTAATGTAGGTGGTTCATTTTATTAATTTGAGTTTAATTATAATAAAATAGTGATATTTAATTTTTTATTATAATAAAATTTTTTTTAAATAAAATTATATTTTAACTCAAATTAGTGACGCATAGTATTGGAAGGAAAATATCCAACACACTCTTGTGCTTTGTTAAAATATTAGGCGCGTTTGGAACTCGTTTCAAAATAATTTTGTTTCTTATATGAAAATGAAAACGAAAACGTTTTTAATTTCAGACAAAATTATTTTTGAAAATGTGTTTTATAGTTTTATGAAGAGATTATTTTCAGTATAAAAAAATTAATTAATGTCTCTACCTCTTTCTCTCTGCTCGAGAGATGAGAAAACAAAAATAAAAAATAAAAAATAACTAAAAGTCATTTTTTATTTCTCTCTTATTTTACACTAAACTAAAAAATCATTTTCATTTCCGTTGTTTGTTTTTATTACGCCAAACGTCGTTTTAAAAACGTTTTCATTTATTTCTCAAAAAACGTTAAAAATAAAAAGGGATCAATTCTAAACACGGTCATTATTTTTGTTCTTCTTATTTTTATAATGCTTAAAATACCCTCTGTATTTATAAAAACATACGCAAAACACCTTTGAAGCAATTGAATTTTTAAAAATGACAATGATTATCATACCAAATCTACATGTAACGTTATTTTAGATATTATTTACCTACACAATTAAATAAAAAATTATAAAATGCTCAAATAAATATTCCCATCAAAGAATGCTTTAATTATTTTGAGGGTTTTTCATTTTTAAGATTGATCTTATTTAACATTTTAGTTTAATAATGTTTCCAATAGGATTTATTAAAGATTAGGAATGATCATTTTGGTATTTTGAAAATATTTATTTGTTTTAGAGTTTATTTTTGATCTGTTTAACAAAACAATATGAAAGCTTAAGAGCCCTTAACTCTTTGTCTAAACAATATCCTTCTTAGTTGAACACTGTTATAAAACACAGGTAGTGCGCACTAATATAAAGTGGGTCTCACCAATCGTGTCATTGAACATTTTTCTTTCTTAACTAGTAACTACATATTATTTATTTATTTATTTTTGAGAAAGATAACCTCTCAACCTGTGCATGTTTTAGGACAAATTTTAGAGTACTATTTGTTCTTTTTTGTTTTTATGTAAATTGTACTGTTGCATCTCAAGTTGTTCAATTTTTTGCACAATAAGCTCAAAACTTTTAATTTCTACAAAATGCACCTTAAAATTTTAAAATCAATTGCAATAAAGTGTGATAACTGAGGACACTATTAAATTGATAGCTCAAAACACAATATTTACACGTAAAATTATTTAAAAAATGACAATCTTTATTTTTCATTTGCTAATCTTGTTGGGGTTAAATTTAATCATACAAATTTGCATATGTCGAGAATGATCAAAATACTAGTCTAGCAAATGTCTGTATCGCTGCTTGCAAGATAAGTGCTTGACTCTGCCTTTATCTCTGTTCGATTCAATTCTATTGAACCCTCATGATTAATAGTATCCTTTGATCGCATATGAGTCTTTAGTCAGCGGGGCAGCGAGTCATAAGTTTACCTTTTGACTCATATAAGACAGATATTGATCACTCGATTTAAGGTTGCGTTTGGTTACAATAGGAGAATGAAAATGGAAATAAAAATGAGAATGGAATGGAAAATAAAGTTGATTCATTTATTTGATTGTAATTTTAAGAATTTTCTAGAATGGAACATGAATATTTTCATGTTAACAAACTTATTCTTATGCTATATATAACACTAATATTTTATCTATCAATATAAAATATAAAATGTAATATAATATAATAAAATTATTATTATATAATATATTATATAATTATGATATATAATATAATATTATTAAAAATTATAAAAAAATTATATTAGATTAAATAAATATATTATAATTAATATATTATATAACCATAACGTGTGTAATACACTATGATAGATAATAATATTATAATTATAAGATTATATTTAAATTTTGATTATATTAATTATTATATTATCATTAATAAATATAATATAATATATAAAATTATTATAATATTATTATAAAATAATAATTATATAATATATAATATTATTATAATCTTATTATAAAATAATAATTATAAGATATTATAATTATAATAGCATAATTATAATATCATATTATTAAAATCATTATAATATCATATTATATTATAAAATAATAATATTAGAATAAGTATATAATTATGATATTATTTGTTACAATATTACAATTATATTATATTATATCATATTATTTTATTGTGTTATTATGTTATATACAATTACATTATAATATATTATAATTTATAACTATATTATAATTATATTATATTATATCATAATATTTTTATTATATATTATATTATATTACATATTATAAGATATAACTACTATATAATATATTTTAATTATATTATAATATTGAAGGGTAATTATGGAAAAAAATAAATAAAAAAATTTAGAATGGACATTCCTCCTATATGAGGAAGGAATGGTGATTTACCCAAAATGGGTGAATGACCATTCCTTTTGAATGATCATTCATTTCTTATAAATCCAATCAAACATCAAATTAGAATTCCATTCCATTATATTCCATTCATTTCCATTCTATTCCATTCCTTTCCACTTAACCAAACACACCCTCAGGGTTCAATTGGCTGAATTTCAGGAACCACCCCATGATCCCTAGTTGCTCACTCACATTAATAAATGAAGGGATATTTACATTTTTATACTATGTATTTTGGATTTATTCTATATCTTTAGTTTTTAATCCCATCAAATGTATACCTTTAAATTATATTTAATATTGAAATTTAGGCCCTGTTTGTTTCTGTTTTCATTTCCATTTTTCATGTTTTTCGAGACTAAAAATGAAAACGAAAACATAAAATGCGTTTGGCCTAAAAATTTTTTAAAAACGAAAACAAAATCGTTTTTGTCTTTTGTGAAAAATTGAAAACGAAAAAAATGTGTTTTCATTTTCTCGTTTTCGTTTTCTGAAAACGGATTTTATTTTTTTTTTCATTTTCTTCTCTCTCTTTTCTGAAACCATTTTTGTCTTATATAATGATGTTTATTTAATATATTTATTTAATATATTATTATTTAATATATTTAATAATATTATTTATTTAATATATTATTATTTTAAATATTATTACATGTTTTCAAAAATTAAACCACCAAATGTAGTTTCAGTTTTTTTTTAAAACTGAAATCAATCTCTGAATAAAACTACCAAACGCATTTCGGAAATAATTTCAAAATGAAAATGAAAACGTTTTCATTTCTATTTTCATATAGAAAATAAAAATATTTTGGAACCAATTCCAAACGCACCCTATATCTTTTCACAGTCAACTCTCGATTTTAAGCATAAAATACTTAAAGTACCCTTCAATAAAAATGAAAAAAGAAAAAAACCATAAAAAACTTTAAACTTACAGTTTTAACCTTAAAAAATCTAAAATACCATTGAAATTGGTTTTTTTGTGTTTTTATTTTTTATTTTTTGTAGTGTTGAAAAGTTTTAGTTTTATTTTCTCTCTTTTTTTAAGGATAATTTGATCATTTTAAATGTCAAAATTAATTATTGACTAAGATAAGAAATAAATTGGTATATTAAATTAAATTTAAAAGTATAAATTTGATGAGATTAAAAACTGAATGTATAGATTTTAAATCAACTTAAAACATAGTGTGAAAATGTAAATATCCCATAAATAAATGAATGTGGACACATGTCTATATCTAAAGTCACAATCGAGGCCCACTCTCCTATGAAGTGGACCTTGATTTTAGGCCCACTTGCTTGCTATAATTCTGAGAAGGCGTTACGAATTATTACATATCAGAGCGCTTTTGTAACAGGGATCTCTATAATTTTGTACTCGTAATTTCAATATAATAGAAAACCTTTGCCCTATAAAGTAGACGTGAGTCTTTAAGAGCGAATCATTACAAATCTTAATACGATTTATTTATATTTCTTAATTTGTATTATTGTCTGGTTAATCTATCTTATTATTTGTATATTCTTTTATTAATTATTGTAATAAATATCAGTTTATTGATGACAACCAAACGCTCATGAGCCCACATTTGTGATCTCCGTATTTAATTATGAATTTTAATTGACCATAGAAACATCCCAATTTAATAACGTCTATTAGGTATTGGATCCCAATTGTTATTAATTTTAAAATTTAAGTACATTTTGTAAAAAAATTAAAAATTCAAATTTCATTATGCAAAAAGCGAATATTTAGGATACAAAAATGCAATTACTCTTTTTTTTTTTCCACTAAAAAAAAGTTTGTGATGTTCTCATGCCTCAATCTTAGTGGTTACTTATCAAATTACTAGAGCCACAAGTGAAACGGAAATAAATCTAACTAAACTTTCGTCAGCTAATAGTTAGAGCATCCAAAGTCAAATAGGTCTAAATTATATTTAATAAGCCGATGAGAGATATAATTTCAGTCTCGCTGAAAGTGAGAATCCATCTATGAATGCTAGGTGCGAGATCATTTATAGGTCCATCTTCATTTTATGTGTATTTTTTGTTTATATTTATATAACCAAAATATTGTGATTGTGTTATCAGTATCATAAGTAATTATGATAATATTATTTTTTTTTCAAATTGTTGTTAATACCAAAAACTAGAGTTAACGTGTTTGATTACTTATAAGTTAAATTGCTACTATGATTAAAAAAAATTAATGTGAAGACCCATAACGACAAAAGTAAATATATTTTATCTTGATTTTAATAAGAAATACTTGTAAGTTATAAATGGCACGATGGAATTTTAATTTATTTGAAACATAATCTAATAAAAGTTACTATTTCTTAAGCATTCTTTTTCTCAAAAATGTTTGTCACTAGCTAAACATAATAATTGGATTTAGAATTATAATTGTTATTAAATATATGTTAAAAATTTAAACAACAAAAATGGGAGTAACGGAGCAAAAATAATCTTAAGCATACTTTTTAGTAACAGTTACGATTGCTAAATAAAATTAGCAATGACCAAAAATCATGTTTCAAAATGTTTAACAATCTAAAAGCAGCTATTAATAACAATTTCAAAATAATCTTTGCATGAAATCATAGTGTTAAAACTATATAAACATAAATACACCGAGTTATTGGCACTTTACCCCTAATAAAACCTACATTCTTGCCCTTTTATATACTGCTTTCGTTATTAAGGGACCAGTTACTACAACAATTTATTCATCTCAACAAGATAGTTCTTGCATTTTCAATAATTTGGTAAAATATATTTTTATATGAGCAATCTTAAAAATTCTGGTGATACATCCCCGTCACACTCAAGAAAATGTGAGACTCACTTTTTGTGTTTGATGGATACAATCCGCATTGAGCCAAAAAGGATTTTTCATTTTTGACGAGTCCAGCCTGCAAACTTCCGTCTCATTGCTAGTTGGCCAGCATCTTTTTTTTATTCCTCCTTTTCCCCTTAGAGAAACACAAAAAGAAATGCTTGAATAATTGACCGGCATGTATTCTTAGAACAAATTCTAACCATACTAATCATTTTATATTTTTAATTAAAATAACTAATTATTTAACTTTTTTTTAGCTTTTCTTTGCGAAATAGTTAGTTTTTTTTATTAAAGTATTTTCCACTAATTAAACATAGTCAGTAAGAAAGAAGTGACTAGCTATTTATTTTTTTTATTATTTTATTCTTAATTTTAATATGAAGTAAAAGTAAAAAAAAGTTATTTATATTTTAAACTTAAAAAAATATTAAAATAATTTATATTTAACTAAAATAGATAGTATAATTAGAATAACTCATTAAAAAATTGTTAACTAAAATAATATTATAATCATTTTAACTAAAATTTAATTAAAATTTAGAAAGCAGAGAGATATTCTAAAATAATAATGTAAATGTTCGCCTGCCATGTCAATGTTAGTGCAGTGGTTGAATAAGTCCAATAGTATACGGCAGTGCCCGGACCCCTGCCCAATCCACTCCAATGAGCAATTCGTGATGGCTTTGTATCATCTAATTAATCATTCAAATGAGCATGACAACGTTGTAAAGAAAAAGTTTAATAAGAGTATGTTTGGTAGGAAAGAAAAGTAGAAGGAAGGAAGAAGGTGGAGAGATTTTGGGAGAGAAAATAGAAATGTAAGTTGTTTGGTAAGAGAGAAAAAAAGAAAGAAAGAGAAAATGGAATGGAAAATAATATATGTGAGTCCTACAATTTTTTTTTCTTTCCACAAGTGGGCAGAAAATTGGGTGAAAAATATGGACAACTAATTAAAGTGATCAAAGTTACAAACTATCATTTTCTCCATCAACTTCCAAACAAAAAAGTTAAGGGTATAAAAGTAATTTACGAGTAAATTTTTTTCTTTCCTCTCAATTTAACTTCCAATACCAAACAAGTGAAGGTAAACTCATTTTTTTTTCATCTTCTCATACCAAACAACATAAAAGAAAATCAATTTCCTTTCCATCATTGCTATTTTTCATCACTTCCATATTTCATTTCTATCATATTTTCTTTCATTCTTACCAAACATAGCATAAATTGTTATATTTTTATTTGATATCTTGCTCCGCTTTATTTATATATATATAACACATAAGCATAATATAAAAAATTTGCATCACACACAAATAATCTACAAACAAATCGACCACAAAATAATTACTTACTGCAGGTAATTTGTAGACACTTAAATTCGTTTATTTCACCAATTTGAGTTTTTAATTTTAGTTTTGCTACAGTTAAAAACTTTCACAAAAAATTACATTTAACTTTTTATACTATAATAAAAAACTCTCACATAAAATTACATATTAACTCGAATTGAAAATTTGAATCTGCGAACTGAATCAGTTCCACAAGTGCACTTCTCTCTTGTCATGCATAACTTGCATTAATGGCTACTGATTTACTTACTGTTTTTCTTTTTTTTTTTGGAACACCTTTGTGATTGATACTTCCATGAATTTTACGTTTCTTTGTTTTTTATTTAGAAAAAAGCTATGTCTATTAGAAGCTATTGATATTTGAATACGTGAGCTTTTAAAAAAAAATTAGAAAGAGGTTATTTGAATACAAGACTTGTACATAGTGCAATTAGATGAGAAATCATAATACATTATTATTACACAAAATTGCAGGTCAACTTGCACAGATGGGCAACATGGACCCATATCAATTATCATGCATTAGTATATGATCTTAAGAATAAGACCATCATTACTTCATAATGGATCAGGATATTCTCTATTTTCATTTCAATTGTCTTTTTTTTAATATATATATATATATTTATATGAATCACGAGTTTTTAATAATTATGTTTGTCTAATATAAAAATTTAATGAAGTGATGTAATAAAAATCTAATTTTAGAAATTTTTTTATTATATATATATATGTATATATATTACGAGTGACTTCTACCACATCTTTTCTTTCTTCATGAATGTCAGTTTTGGAGGTCACGAGAGAGATTTTCCCTTCAATCTTGTGATGATTTTGAGGGATTGATGCCATGAATTTTGGGCAAATGCCGTCGCACATGGGAACAAAAGCCTCTTTTAAAGGCATTGAATTTTTCTTCTTCTTTTTTTTTTTTTTTATATATATATATATTGGATTTTGTTTTGTGTGTCTCATATTCACTTTTCCAATATGTTACGTATTTCCAATAGTGGTCATTTACCGAATTAATCAAGGCAGTCCATGACCAACTTGGCTGACTTGCTTTTTCATGTTCTAAAAACAGTTTCCAAACTGATCACCTAATTTTATGTCTTCATACATTAAATATTAACGCCTTTAACTTACTTGCGGTTCATACATTAGTAACAAATTCCACCGTTATATTTAGGGCAGAAATTGTACTAATCTATTTTATCTTAAAGAAAAGAAAGTAAAGATCAATGCTTTATAAATGCATCTGATATAGGAATTCAGATTTTAGAATATAAAATTGTAAGAGAATCTTAACACAAGAAGTTTTGCGCCTTGGGAACGTTCAATGTAACAAGAGTGGCATCAACTAAAGTTGAGGCATTTCTTTAACTTTCGGCTAGTATTGATTATTTAACTTTTTTTTTTATCGTTAAACTCAAGATACAAAATAAACACTCATGTTCCTAAACTATCCAAATCCAGTTTAAAAAACGTGTAAATTAGGTAAATTACCGTTTTAAAGTCTAATAATCCACCCATACTACTTTTAAGCTTAAAATTTTCGTAAACAATAATACATATAGATACCGACTGTCTAAAGTATGTTCAATAAGAGAGAGAAAATGAGAATAAAAAAAAAAAAAACATATAACTTTAGTGTAGAAAATTGAAAGAAAAGAGATGATCTTTAATTAGAGAGATTAATAGTGAGCTATTTGAATTAACATTGAAGGATTTAAATCCCACACGCAATCGAATAAGTTTATTCTTCTAATTCACCCGTAGAAAAACATCAAAAACCTCAGACCAAAGTCACCCAAAGGTCGGAAAAAAAAAAAGAAGAGAGAGATCAAAGTGTAATTTTACCGAAATACCAAAATTTCCCTCCCCATTGAGGGGCATTTTCGTCTTATCACACCGCCAAAGCCACCGCTGTCCGGTGGGATAATTTAAGATTTCAAAAAACCACCGATTGCCAACTACCATAATATATAGTTACAACTCTCACCATAAATGCCCTGTCATTTTCCCTTGCAATTAACTCCAATACCCAAAAATTTTAAGTAACAAAAAAAAAAAAAAAAAAAAGGAAGAATTTTCATTCCCCGGAATTGCTTCTACTACACTCTCTCTGTCTCTTTCTCTCCTCCTCTCACCAAAAACCTAACCTCCGAATCTAAACCATTAGCGTAATCCATATATATATATATAATCATTATTATATTCTGCTCGAGATTACAATGGTTTCGTGGGTCTAGTGCTTCTGCATTTTTCTGGTAATTTGGTGGCTGAAGATTTTTGGTGATTCGGACATGGAATTTGAGCATCCGAGGCCGGTCGGTCCGGCGATGACCTTCGACGAGGTCTCCATGGAACGCAGTAAGGACTTTGTCAAAGCTTTGCAGGTTCGGTTCCTTCGCACGCGCCCCCACGCGCTCATGAGCTTACCAGTTTAAGTTTTCTCTCTAGGAGTTCTTTCGATCAGATCTCATTACTAATTTTATTGTCTGTTGGTTTTTGGTTTGCTTAATGCATGGGTTTTGTAATGAATTTGCGCCTTTTCTTTTCTCAGTTGACTTTTTTTGTTCTGGAATCTAGACTGCATTTATTATAGTTTTTGGTTTTGGAAGAATGAAGATGTGGAGATGGTTGTGTTTTGACTCTTTGAACTTATGGGTTTTGCTTTTCTGTCTGAGGAGGAAGTTGGAGATGATAAATGCTTTTTTTTGTTTTGTTTTTTGTTTTTGGGTGAAAATTTCATCTCGGAAGCTTAATTTGCTGATAGTTGTAGCAATTAATGCTTTGTTTGAATCGTTGAGGTTCTTTGATGTCTTCTCAGTGACTACTGTGTATGTTAGATTTTGATTCGGTTATTGGTAGTTGTTGGATTTTGGGTGTTGAGGAAAGAATCGGAAAGTTTGTAATCTGTGTTTTCTTTTACATTTTTTTTCCTTTACCTGAAAACTTCGATTGGTTCTCTTTTGTTTGATTTTCTTTCCCTTGTTGACATGATTATGCTGTTTGGAGCATCCATAATGGTTTGGTTCTTATGCCATGTTTTATTTCAGGAACTCAAGAACTTGAGGCCTCAACTTTATTCTGCCGCAGAATACTGCGAGAAGTCTTATCTTCACAGCGAGCAGAAACAAATGTATGGATCTTATTATCATTATTATTGTTTATTTTATTTATTTTATTTTTTATATTTTTTGCTCTGAATGTAGGGTTATCCTTCAATGCTCTCTTAGGACTCAGGGTCATCAAGTTTCTTGATTTTACGGCCTCATTCATTCATTTCGTTAGTTCGAATCATAACTCAAATTTTTACTATTATTTTCTGTCAAAAATTCAAATTCAACTTTTTCTGCTACAGTGTTTTCTCTCACGTGAATTCACTTTTTAACTTCTTAACTCGAACGAGTGAAAAAAACGGGGCCTACAAAAGTTTCATCCTTTTGGTTTGTTGATGAAAGTTGCTTCAATTATGAAATAGGGTACTGGACAACCTAAAAGATTATGCTGTACGGGCCCTCGTTAACGCTGTTGATCACCTTGGCACTGTGGCATACAAGTTAACAGACCTTCTTGAGCAGCAAGCGTCAGAGGTCTCAACCATGGAGCTCAAAGTTACTTGCGTAAATCAGGTGAGTTCTTTACATTTGTCTTCATTGTCATCGAAGGAATAGCAAATGGACAGAGCTAACGAGCTTCATATTTTGATGTCAGCAACTTCTTACATGCCGAACGTACACAGATAAAGAAGGTCTTAGGCAGCAGCAATTGTTAGCATTCATTCCGAGGCATCACAAGCACTACGTTTTGCCAAGTAAGGAAAGGTTAAATGTCATTAACTTCATGTAGAATTCACTTTTTTAGTAATGAGATAATTGAAATGGTTTTCCTTCTCTTTCTCTCTATCTCTTGTGTTAATTTGCACCAGATTCTGCCAATAAGAAGGTACATTTCAGTCCGCTCGTACAGACAGATGCTAGGCAAAATAATTTTCAAGCTAGAGCTCGTCTTCAGCCTTCAAGTATGTAGTTTTCCATTTGGGCTTTTTGTTCACGCTCCAGTTCTATCTATTCCATTTTTGTCTTTATGATTCACGTTTTTTGTTTTGATGTCATAAGTCGGTCAGTTAATCTCTATTACCCTGAACTTTTACATCAGGTTCCCCCGCATCAAAAACACTTTCATGGCATTTAGCCTCAGACACGAAGCCTACTTTGAAAGGGGCTTCACAGGTTTCAACAAAGTGAGTGGAAGTTTTCATTTTATTCTTTGATTTAAAGTTCCTTGTTCGTTTTTGTTTTCTGATGCTCATGCTCCCAGTTTTCATGATAGAAGTTTAATCAATATTTTCTACAATGCAGCACTGAGGATGTAAAAAATTCAGGAAAAACTTCTGGGTTGTTCCATCTTTTAGGTATGTAGAATCAAGTATTTCCTGTCCACCGATCTATTGTAGTTTCAAATGGGCTAAAGGGATAAAGATTCGTATGTTTGATTCTTCAATCTTGTATTCACGTAGATGACGAAGAGTGTATTCCAACAAGTGGAACTCCTGCTTCTATGCAAATTTTGGGTGCCACACGCAAGGTAATATCTACTAATTTATAATGAATTTGAGAAACACTCATACTAAGTATTAGTGGAACAGTTTTCTTCAGCAAGCCGGTTCTTGTTTTCAATTGTTTAATATGATGGATATTAGATAGTCTAGACTTTTGATTGAGGTATCTATGCTTCTCCTTGGTAGTAGACTAGTGGTTGATACAAGGATGCTTATTATAACTACATTTTTGTTTTAGGTCAAAATCCACTTATCTCTGTTTCGGAGAAAAATCCAAAGCTTATAACGTGGTCCTTTTTTTTTTTGCAGGATGGAATGGAGGGATCCAAACCTTTGACAGCATTCAGGTCGTTTGATAACCAAAATCGACGTGAGATTGTTCGTGTCCCTGTGCGCAGCAAAAGTGTGTTATCAGCTTTCTTTGTCAAACAGAAAACACTGAAAGCTGAAAGCCGGAAGCTGAAAGCTGGTCCTGTCTCGTGATACTCTAGACTAAATCAAAAGTTGAAGAATGAAGGATTCACACCCTGCAAATGTCTCCCCACATGCCAGTTATGCCTTTTGCGTACGGCTCTTTTTTTCTGGCAAATTGGCACGTCAAGATGTTGAAAACCCCCCTTTTCTATTCTTCTTTTCTTTTCCCTTTTCTCGTCTCATTTGATTGCTTAATAATGAGAATGTTGTGCATATAAGTTCTGTAATATCGACAGGCCAAGGATGGTTTGGTTGTTGTATGTTAAGCTCTCATAAATGATTGAATTAATTTCTGTGCATAGTGTATCTTCCGAGTTATACTTAACATCTATGTTCATAAATATATTGGTCATGATCAAAATGATTTATGTTGATTTAAGTTCTAGTTGATGGTGATAAAATGTCGTTCACACACCATTTAGTTCTTAGTTTCAAGGTAGAAATTAGGTGAAGGAAAAATTCAGCTGGAATTAACAAAATACTTCCGTTACATAATAATAATAATGGATATCTTTTTTAATTTTGATAATTTTTAATTTAAGTTGAGATATGATTTTATGTAAAAATTTTTTTACTGTAATAAAAAAATTAAATATAATTATTTTTAAAATTTTTTTATTATAATAAAATTTAAATTTTAAATTCAAATAGCGGGACCGAAATAAACATCTGCATCCGAAGTCTGAATAGCTCTACAAAAGCATATTAATAACCAAGTACATTTCTTTTTTAATCTGATAATCTGAAATGCCTCCTGTGTCCTTTCCTCCTGTTCCTGTAAATTATTATGAACCGTTTGATCTACTGACTGTTAAGCACTGAACTTTACACCGACTCATCCCTCCAGATCCCGATCTCAAATCCTCCAAAAATTTCTTTACTCCTCTTCGCTCCAAAATTTCTACTAATCTTCAATTGTTGATCCAATCAAGATTCTATTCCCGAGTTCCTTGTTCGTTCAATCAACGAACAATGTCGTCGTTCTTGCACCAGAGACCCATCCACAACCCGCTCTCGAACCCGTACCCACTCTCCCCTCGCTCCTCCTCGTCTTCTCAGAGATCCTTCTCTCTCTTCAGCCCCACGGCGCTTCTGCTCCTCCTCTCTCTCCTCGTCCTCCTCGGCGTCTTCCTCCCGTGGGCCGGCGTGCCGGACGGCATCTTCTCCTCCGTCAAGCCCTCCATCACCAAGTGGCGCCACTACACGCTGTCCCAGGCGGCGTCGTTCGTGGCCAGGAACGGGAACGGCACCGTCATCGTCTGCGCCGTCAGCCAGCCCTACCTCCCTTTTCTCAGCAACTGGCTCATCAGCATTTCCAGGCAGAAGCATCAGGATAAGGTTCTTGTCATCGCTGAGGATTACGCCACGCTCTATAAGGTTAATGAACTCTGGCCCGGCCATGCCGTGCTTGTTCCTCCCGCTCCCGAATCCCAAACAGCTCATAAGTTTGGTTCTCAGGTATGGTTTTTCTTAGTTGTTTTGGAGTTTGGTAATTTTTTGATGTTTAAGTTCTTGGAAGCCGATTTTTCTCTGTTGGAATGCTCTTTGGAATTAGTGTTCGGTTTATATGGTTAAAGTACATGAATTTGAATTTTTTTTTTTGAATGCTTTATGCGAAGATCAAACTCGGACTGACTGTGAAATGGTGAACTCATGTTTTGATTATATATATATATATATATTGTGGAAGGCAAATTAGTAAAGGTGAATAAACAGTAAATTGATACAATAACTCTCAATCGTTTCCTTTGATTTTTGTTAGAAATAAACATATAAGGGTCACCAGATGTATGTTTCGATTATCATAGTAATTTAGCGCTTCTGATATATTCTTTTTTGTTTCGATTCTAATATTAGGTTTTTAATAGATGTTTCTTCTTGTATATTGTTAGAGTAGTTTTGTAAGGAAAGTTTATTGGTTCAGTTGGTTTCTCTATCTCTCTCACTTGAGTCACTTCTGTTCCGGCTTTTGAAATTAATACGAATGTCTTACTTTTTTTGGTTTGTAGGGATTCTTCAATTTTACTTCCCGAAGGCCGCGCCACTTACTGCAGATTTTGGAGCTTGGCTACAACGTTATGTACAATGATGTTGATATGGTCTGGTTGGCTGATCCATTTCCTTATTTGGAAGGGAACCATGATGTTTACTTTACAGATGATATGGCTCAGGTAAGTACGCGGGTTTTGCCTTGAGCGTTTGATTTCTACTATTTATGGAGATTAGTTTGAACATCCATGAACTTATGATCAAACACTTAGTTTCCCAAAATATGATTGGAATGTTTTTTGCTTTCATGTTTTCATTGGAAAATGGATGGGATGTTTCGCTTACAGTTCATTAAAATTGACGTACAGCAATATTGATTTACAGCTGAACTACTCTGTTGATGGTGGGAACATCAGAGACTATGTCACCAACTAGAACTAAATTACCAAATCAAAAATTTCCACATCTCTAGCACCTGAAATAATTGTTGATCTCTTCATGGTTCTTATCCATTACTGCATTAATGATTCCTGTTTTGATTTCCTTGTCCATCAGGTAAAACCTTTGAATCATTCTCATGAATTGCCACCACCTGGGAAGAAAGGACGCACTTATATATGCAGCTGCATGATTTTTCTACGCCCCACAAACGGAGCAAAGTTAGTAATGAAGAAGTGGATTGAGGAGATGCAAGAACAGCCGTGGTCCAAAACAAAGAAATCAAATGATCAGCCTGCTTTCAACTGGGCATTAAACAAAACGGCTGGAGAGGTTTTTCTCTTTTGCCTTCTTGATTTTTGCTTTCTATGTTTATTAAGTTGTTCAAGAGTCCAGACTATGCCGTAACCTTTCTACAGGACTTGAGAGCCACACTCTCTTCACTGCATTCTTTGATACTAAGTAGTTCCAATTTGTCTGGCTTTTCCACAGAATTTAATCAAATAAGTTCTAGTGGAATTTTGTTCTAGGTAGTATCCTTTATGGATTTTAAAACTTCAAACTTCAAAAGTTTTGTTTGGTGATCTCTTGATGAGGTCTTACAATATTTGATCGAATGCGTTGATAACCAATGTAGGTGGGTCTTTACCTGCTTCCGCAGGCAGCATTTCCGACAGGAGGTTTATACTTCAAGAACAAGACTTGGGTGCAAGAAACTAAAAGCATGCATGTCATAATCCATAACAACTACATTACAGGTTTTGAGAAGAAGATAAAGCGATTCCGTGAATATGGCCTCTGGTTGGTAGAGGATCATGCAGATGAGTCTCCCCTGGGCAGATTAGGAGACTGAACAACGTGTAATACCCATTTCTGTACACGAAATCCTTTGGAAGAAGGCCTGCATCAGAATGGTTGTTACTGATCTGCTAGGCCTCCCTGTGTTCCTGTCCGATGGCTGCTCGAGTGGATTTTATGCAAGGATACCGCTGCCATATGACACCACAACACCGAAGGTGTCATCACAAAATGGAAATGAAAGACAACCATAAAAAGAACGGATTTTTTTTTTTCTAGAATTTTGTTATACAATTTTTTTCAAGGTCCAAGTTCCCGGTTCCCCTTAGAAGCTATCCAAGTTAGGTGTACTCGTCATGGTGATTCCTTGTTCATTCGTCGATAATTTTTCCTTTTTCAACTTTGTTTCGATTTTTTCCGAAGCTTTATTTGGAAATGGGGGTTCCCGAGCTATACATGGTGTAAACTTATACATTATAGCTTATTATGTGTTAACCACAAATCCACAATATGGGATTTTACTTATTTGGTTTATTTATTCGATTACTCTTACAGTTTACACAAAGTTATGAACGATGATAGTTTATGGATTCGTCCATTTTTTATGTTTATACCCTCTGGTAATTTTTAAAAATACCCCTTACAATTGAGCTCTTATTTATTTATTTATAAGTAGAGCTCTCTTTTAATATTAGCTTATATATTTCTATTTTTATACAAGAATTAGTTAATGGGTAGAGTTTCTTAAAAATAACACTTTTAATGAGTTAAATATTTAAGAAGGATAATCTGTAATTTTCTCAAAGAAATTCTGACTTGTTGGTTGGGAAAAATAACTGAAGTTAAAAACATGCGTTTGCCGGGAGTCGAACCCGGGTCTATTGCTTGGAAGGCAATTATCCTAACCGTTGGACTACAAACGCTTCTTGAGTGTAAAGGGCCAGAATTTTGTCACTGTAGTAAATTTCAAAGTGTCGGCAAACTGCAAGTAGGTCAACCTGAGATCAAGTTGAAAAAATTTTCTCCTTAGCAAAAGAACAAAGGGGTCACTGAATCGAAGATTATAAATTAGAACCCTTAAGCATTTGGATAAATAAAAAAAATAAAAAATATAACCTATATGAAACTCGGCCCTTGTTTTTTTTTCCTCTCAACATTTTAATAATTAATTTTTGGCAAACGTATTCTCAAACGGTAATAAACTGATCAATGAACTAGTTTGATCTAACAAATCCATATTATCCCCTTTAAGGACTTGTTTAATCTTTTCACGCAAATTATTAAATGTCATCCTCGGATGGTGTTAGTGTAGTGTAGTGGTTAATACCAAAATAAGAGAAGACTTGTAATTAAAGAATACCACCGAGTTTGCCAGCTTATAAGTTCACCACGTGTAACGTGTTTATTTATTTATTTATTATTATTTTTTTTTATGTGTGATGTGTGATGTGTGGCTGTCCAAGCTGTTTAGTGGTTTAGTTTTTCAAAGTAGGAATCCTTTTTATAAATTTGTTTATGATCTCAAATTAGTAGCCTGTCAGTAAATACAGAAGGAGCAAACAATGCATAGTGTCAGGCATTTTAACATCACCCATACGTTTTTCATATGCCATTTGTTTTTTGTTCCTTCCTTACCCTTTTAAATTATTATATATTATGATTTCTTTTATTTTTTTCGTTAAAATGGACAAGCCTTCATATTATGACATTTTTTGTTTTTATTTTTTAATTTTTAAATGAAGGATTCATCATCTTCAGTTTACTCAAACAAACCTGCATATCCTTAATGTACCTCTTTTTTTTTTAGGAAGAAATTTTCGTTAGTGTATAATCTAGTTATATTATGGAGACTTCTACCGTTGAGTTTGAAGGAAATAAACTAGCTGTAGGTTTTTATTTTTCAACGGTTATTTTATATCGAAAATTATCTGTTATGTGATTAACTTACATTACTTTTATGAAGTTTCATTATATATATATATGAATAAATATTAAATGAAATGCTATGCCATTTGTATTTGTTTATTTTTTCTGCATAGCTGTTTGTATGTGAGTTCCATCAGTCACTAGAGAATTTTACGCTTTTCGTGATTTCTTAAAAAGCCATTTGTTAACAATTAGAATTTCAACAACGCTACCATGCAAAATAAGTGAAATATATATTCACTAGAAAAACTCGGCATATAGATCCTTTCAAAAAATACAAGCATAAAAAAAAGTCAACCACAACTTATTTTACAATGCAACATTAGAAAAACGAATTTCCTAATTTAGTATTACAAACGAATTATGTTAACTGAGTATGATAATAACTTTAAGAAATTATTACCAAAATAAGTACCAATCAAGAGATAGTTCTTCGCTACTAAAGTAACTCCTTTTTTCTTAAAAGAAAAAACTAGTAATAAAAAGATTTTTGAGGGAAGTAATAAAGATTCAAGTAATGAACAAAACGGAATATTAGATTCTTCAAAAAAAAAAAAAAAAGGAATTTTAGAAAAAAATAAAAAAACTGCGTACGGACAATTTATTCCTACTTTCAGAAAAGAAAAAGAAAAAAAATGTTCTAATTTTTTTCGTCCAATTATTTCGATAATAAAATCTCAATAAATCTCTTTCAACATCCACGTCAATTGCTCTTCTACTCTTCTCTTTACCTCCTCTACTCTCTCTCTGACTTCCCTTTTACTCTGTTCACAAGCAAACTGAGAGAGAGACTGATAAATTCAAAGAAAAAACGCTCAACACGAAACAATTCTCTCTCTGACCCATTAAAGAACTCTCGAAATTCAATCAAAACTCCATTTTTTTCCTTTTTTTTTCATGGGGTTAAGCTGAAATGGGTTCTTTGGAAGGTGGGTCCGCTACTCCGTTTAAGAGGGACCCATTTCTCCGGTCGGCGTCGTTTACCGGTCGGAGTGACAGAAACCCATTTTTGCAGAGACAAAGATCGAGATTCTCGCGGTTCTTCCTCTTCAAGAAGCTAGATTACCTCCAATGGATTTGCACCGTCGCGGTTTTCCTGTTCTTCGTGGTTCTCTTCCAGATGTTCTTGCCCGGTTCGGTGGTCGAGAAGTCGATAAAGACTCATAGAGACGAGGAATTCAGCTCCGGGGATTTGTTCTTCCTTAAGGAGTACGGAATCTTGGATTTCGGAGAAGACATTAGATTTGAGCCGTCGAAGGTTTTGGAGAAATTTAGAAGAGAAAATAAAGAGGTCAATCTGTCTCATGCATTCAACCGGAGTAGACTTCGGTACCCGCATAAAAAGCCCCAGCTTGCTTTGGTAAATTTGGTTTGATTTCTCAAATGGGTTTTTTTTTTTTTTTTTTTTTTTTTTTTATTTTTTGGGGTTTTGTGAATGAGTTGCTATTTGTTTGATTTCAATTCTTTTACCTAAAGGTTTTTGCAGATCTCTTAGTTGACTCACAACAGTTGCTGATGGTGACCGTTGCAGCTGCATTGCAGGAGATTGGGTATGAAATTCAGGTATTTTTTTTTAAAATTTCAGATTAGTATCTGATTTAAATAGAAAATCTTGAATTTTTACTAATGTTATTATTTATCAAAAAATGCTATAACGACACCCTGTTAGGATTTAGTACTTAGTAGGCGAATTCACCTTTTTATTTACAAGATTCAGTTGAAATGCACGATCATAGTTACACTAAAGTTTCATGCTTGAAGCGCATGGATTTTGAATTTTGCTCTCTGAATGGTTTTCTTGGCTCGTTGACCTCTAACTTTGTATAGCGCTTCAGTTTGATAGATTGGCTACGCACAATATGCTGCTTTATCTGTTGTTACTGCTATAAATAGTACGCAGTGTCCAATTTCTGGTTGTCATTTCTCATGTCTACTCTAGCTAGGGGATAGTTGATTAAGGGGATTTTGATTAATGATTATGCCCTGAACGAGATGACCATAATCTTATTAGAGTTGATTTTTTTTTTTTTTTTTTTTTTTTTTTTTTTTTTTTTTTTTTTTATTAATAATGATTTTGCAGGTTTATTCACTTGAAGGTGGCCCTGTGCATGGTATATGGAGAAATCTAGGAGTTCCAGTTAGCATCATTCAAGCTTGCGATCCGGCGGATGTTACAGTGGACTGGCTAATGTATGCCCCCGCTATTCTAAATTTTCTGATATTTATGAAATTTAGACAAATTTAAAACAATGATTTTAAACTAAACTTACTGCTACTTTCAGTTAAATGAATTTTGCTGACATCCGATTACAATTAATGCTTTTTTGCAGCTATGATGGGATACTTGTGAATTCTTTTGAAGCAAAAGACATGTTTTCCTGGTAATATTTCTCATATTCATTCATCAACATCCAATTTTTACTGTTGCCGATTTCTTTATTTGCTTAGTGTCTTCTCTATGTGCTTTAAAGAAATTAGCTTTAAGAATGTGAGGCTGAAGATTACTTTATAGGATAAAATGAATTGTTAAAGTAATAGTTTTGTTTTGTAAAAGTATAGTGGCTAGGCTCGTGTGACATGGATTATTATGAGGTCATTGAGGCTTTTAAGTTATTGATATTAGAAAAATCCTAATTGCTTTAATTGAATGATTTTACTCGGTACAGTTTTGTGCAGGAACCATTCAAGTCTTTACCTCTTGTGTGGACCATCCATGATAGAGCACTTGCTACTCGTTCGAGAAATTACACTTCAAATAAGCAGATTGAGCTCTTAAATGATTGGAAAAGAGCCTTCAACCGCTCTACTGTTGTCGTCTTCCCAAATTATGTGCTGCCGGTAATATTACCATGTAGCCTTTTCTCAGACTTCTACACTATCTCAATATTGTTCCCCAGAAAATTTAAGTTAAATTTGACAGTCGCATACACTCTTACTGTTACATTGGCTAAATTATAGGACTATGACTTTTCTCTGTAATTGTGCTCAAAACAAATGATGTTACCAGGACTAAATAGTTATGCATTGAGGTTGGCACTTTTTTAAAGGATGATTCTATCTGTGATTCCACAGATGATTTATTCAACATTTGATTCTGGAAACTTTTTCGTTATTCCGGGGTCTCCTGCTGAAGCATGGAAGATAGAAACACTAATGGAATCAGAAAAGGATTACCTGCGTGCGAAGATGGGATATGGTCATGAAGACATTGTTATTACAATTGTTGGAAGCGAACTTTTGTACAGGGGTTTGTGGCTGGAGCATTCTATTGTTCTTCAGGCTCTATTCCCGCTTCTTGAAGACTTCTCATCAGATGAGAATTCCTTTTCTCATCTCAAAATCATTGTTCTTAGTGGGGATCCTACAAGTAACTATAGCTCAGCCGTTGAGGTACTAATCCAAAGAACTCTTGTTTTCTACCTTGTTTTGGGTAAAATGGCTCTATGCTTGTCATCTAACAATCTGGTCCTTTTTTAGGCTATCGCTCTAAACCTAAAGTACCCAAATGGCATTGTGAACCATGTACCAATGGATGCAGAGGCAGACAATGTTCTAACCGCATCCGACGTTGTGATTTATGGATCTTCCGTTGAAGAGCAATCTTTTCCAGACATTTTAATTAAAGCCCTGTGCCTTGAGAAACCAATCATTGCTCCTGATCTCTCCATAATAAGAAAATACGTATGTTTCTATTTTCTGCTCTTTGAAACACAAATGTCCAACGCGCATAGGCTTGAATGATGAAATTGGAAAATATGAATCAATAGTTATTGTGCTTATCATTATATTTTTATGGGTGTTTTCTAACAAAATCTTGCCTATGAAATTACTGACTACTTTGGCAATAAAAATTAGGTTGATGACAGGGTGAATGGGTACCTCTTCCCAAAGGGGAACGTTAAGGTTCTGTCACAAGCCATATCGCAAGTAATCTCAAAAGGAAAGTTATTGCCTCTAGCTCACAATATGGCCTCCTTAGGCAGAGCTACTGCTAAAAATCTGATGGTGTCGGAATGTGTTGAGGGATACGCTTTGCTTCTTGAAAATATTCTTAGGCTTCCATCAGAAGTAGCTCTACCAAAGGCCGTAAAAGAAATCCCTGCGAAATTGAAAGAAAGGTGGCAATGGCATCTGTTTGAACCAGTATCAAACTTGAAAAACTTGAATACAACAACAAGAAGTTACTCATTTCTGGACAATTTTGAGGAGCAGTGGAATCGTACTCAACTAGAGAGGTCTGCTTCTGTAACTGCAGCCGATGATTCGTTTGTATATAGCATATGGCAAGAAGAGAAACGGACTGAGATGGAAAATGCTAGAAGAAGGAGAGAGGAAGAACAGGTAAGTAACGTGGGACGACTTGTTGAATATCATTTTATTAAGTTTCTCAAAAATGTTCATCTGAAAGAAACCGTCTGTAAAAATTTTGTGCAGCTAAAAGATAGAAGTGAGCAATATCATGGAACATGGGAGGAAGTGTATCGAAATGCCAAAAGGGCTGATCGAACCAAGAACGACTTGCACGAAAGAGACGAGGGAGAGCTTGAAAGAACGGGCCAACCACTTTGTATATATGAACCTTATTTTGGTGAAGGAGCTTGGCCTTTCCTTCACCGAGCTTCTCTTTACCGAGGAATTGGGTTGGTGAGTTATCACTTTGTTATTTGAGTGCAATGCTTTGTCTCCCATCTAATTTTTGAAAAAGTACAAATTAGGGGGACCCACATAGATTGACATGACTTTTAACCATATTTTGAATGTTGACATCAAAACATAGTTTGATGTCTTGAATGCTTTGATGGTCACAACTAATGGTATTTAGCTTTTTCGTCTTATTCTAATTTGATGGTTGGCCTTTTTCCCTTTTATGTTATGTAGTGTACAAGTTAACACATATTACGGAATGCTTTGTATTGCAGTCCACCAAAGGAAGAAGACCTAAGGCTGATGACATAGACGCTCCTTCTCGTCTTTCCCTTCTTAGCAATGCGTACTATAGAGATATACTTGGTGACTATGGGGCTTACTTTGCAATCGCAAACCGGATAGACCGATTACATAAGAATGCTTGGATAGGATTTGGGTCTTGGAGAGCAACAGCCAGGATGGTATGTATATGTCTATGTCATCACTCTTTACGTCTATGTCTTAACATTTTTAATCTGGTTTGTGGTTTAATATATTGGCCTAATTTATGTAGGCATCTCTATCGGGGGTGGCTGAAAATGCATTGTTACATGCTGTACAAACGAAAAGGCATGGCGACGCGCTCTATTTTTGGGTTCGGATGGACACGGATCCAAGAAATCCTTTGCAACTTGATTTTTGGTCGTTTTGTGATGCTCTAAATGCTGGAAACTGCAAGTAAAAACCCATATATTGTCTCTTGCGTTTCTTGTGGTTACGTGTCTATCCATTATCAAGCTCTCTGCATGCTAATGTACACGTGTTGTTTATAATTTCTCTCTTTTTCGTGGTATGAAAGGTTTGCCTTCTCTGAGGCCTTGAAGAAGATGTACGGCTTGAAGCATGATTTGGAGTCTTTGCCTCCAATGCCACAAGATGGCGACACGTGGTCCGTCATGCAGAGCTGGGCTATGCCAACTAGGTCCTTCCTTGAGTTTGTAATGTTCTCTAGGTAACAAACAGACGTCGTCACTTTTCTGGCAAAAAGAATAAAGTGTTTTCCTCTTAACAGATGTAAACCATCACCAGTTACTTTTTCTTAGCTTTCTTTTGACATTGAACTGTTCTCACTTTCCAGAATATTTGTGGACGCACTGGATTCTCAAATGTACCACGAACACCACTCTACTGGACACTGTTGCCTCAGTCTGTCCAAGGTAAGCTTATAAAAGCCTAAATAATTAAATGAATAATAAGGGAGAGAATTGCTAGGTTTTCTTGCCCTCTAAAATTGGCATTTGGTTAACATGTCTCGTGTGTGTGTGTGTGTGTGTGTGTGTGTGTATCATATTCTAAATGGAGAATACAATATTAAAGTTTGACATCCTTGGAATTTATGTGAGAACTCTGCCATACATTAAAATTTTCAGACATGAAACACTACAAAAGATAACATATTCACGTGCTATTTTTTTTATATACACAAGAATATGACAACTTTGTCCTTCAGAAAATAAGAGGGTTTATTATGTTTTTATTTATTTATTCAGAGAACCTAATAAAAACAAAACCAAAGAACAAGCATTATGTAGATTTGGTTTTGGTTTTGCGGTGTGTTAATATTAGCATTATGTAGATTTGGTTATTCTTCTGCAGGACAATCATTGTTACTCACGGCTTCTGGAACTGCTCGTGAACGTGTGGGCGTACCACAGCGCGCGACGAATGGTGTATGTGAATCCGGAGACTGGTGCCATGCACGAACAGCACAGGTTCAAGAACCGGAGAGGCCACATGTGGGTGAAATGGTTCTCATACTCAACAATCAAGAGCATGGATGAGGACTTAGCCGAGGAGGCAGACTTGGATCGCTCCCTTAGGAGGCGGTGGCTGTGGCCCTCGACTGGCGAGGTCTTCTGGCATGGTGTTTTTGAGAAGGAGAGGAATCTGCGGAATCAGCAGAAGGAGAAGAGGAAGCAGAAGAGCAAGGAGAAGTTGGACAGGATGAGGCGCAGGAATAGGCAGAAGGTGATAGGGAAGTTTGTGATGCCCCCGCCGGACGACGACATGAGAAGCTTGAATACAACGGTGTTAATAGGAAACTCTTGATGAAAATATTGTCGACTTCACGCATGGAGTTTGCTTGTAGAAGGAATTAAGCTCATTTGATCATTCTTTTTTGGATTTTTAGTTCTTTTTTACCTTTTTTTTTTTTTTTTTTTTTTTTTTTTTTTTTTGGGATGCATGGGATTTGTAATATGTTACGTGAGGGGGTTTGTATGTAAAAAGGTGCATCCATCTGATCATTGATACTGCTGAATAGCCGATAAGTGTATAATAGTTCATTAATTCTAAAAAGTTTCTTTTGCTTTCCAATTCCGGATTAAGCTTTTGCTGTGCTTCGAACAATGAACGAAAAGAATATGGCCATTTAACCTTATTCTTCGACAATGATGTAAAACCGAAAATGCGATGATAACGACAACAACAAAATAAGATTAGCAAAGAAACTTAAAAGTCTGAAACAATAAAAAACGACACTCAGTATAAAACGACAATAAGTTAAAATATACCAAGTACTAGAATTTTACTTTTTTTTTTTTTTTTTATCTTTTAATAGGTCTTCAAGTTCCTATTCCTAAAAAGATTATTTGTCAATTCAAACACACTCATCCCAAAGCACAAGGGTTATTTAGGACCCGTTTAATTTACTTATTTGAATTTTTAATTCGAGTTGAGATATGACTTTATGTGAGAATTTTTTATTATAATAAAAAAGTTAGATGTGACTGTTCTTGAGAACTTTTTACTACAAATTTAAATTTTAAACTCGAATTGGTAAAATAAATTGGGCCTTAGTATGCTTTTGTTCATAGTTCTCGCTTCTTCTGCACGCATGTGAAACAAAGATAAACTACGTGTTGATGTAGTTGAAACTTAAATTAGGAAAAAGGAAGAAAAAAAAAACAAAGCAATAAAATAAAAGAGATAGATCCATTATAGAAGTACCCTCAACAGTTAAGCTTTATTACCAAGTTAATATTGCCTTTCTGAACCTAGGACTACATATGTGCTTGAGAAATTTATTAGAAGCTAACCAAGGTAGAATTGGTTAGACGTTCTTCTAACTCCTGCACAAATTAATGTTCTTTAAAAGCCCTTTATAAAGTTCCTACTTATCGTTCTAAAAGGATTATTTGTCAGTTCAAACACACTAGTCTTAAGTCTTCCTTTTCATCATCATCATTATTATAAATATTATAAATATTCTTATTGTTGTTGTTGTAATTGTAAAGACTGTTTAAGACTTATAATTGTAGCTACATTTCCCCTTTCGTTCATCATCTCATAGAATAATATGCATAGTCAATCAATATATGTATGTTTAATTTGAATGAATTCTTTTAGTAAAAGGCTCTCTTTTTTCTTTTTTTTCCCCTCTTGTCACAATCAAATTCTCCCTTCATATCAATCTTCATTATCTTGTTATTTCAACACATGAGCTAAATACTTTTTTGCTCAATGTTGTCCGATATTACAGATGTTGAATGCTCTGTGATATATTCAATAGTAGCAAACTAAAGCATAAAATCTACTCTTTAACCAAAATAAATAAATAAATAATAAAAAAAAAACAAAAAAGCATATCACATCCCTACTTGGAAGCACTTGTAATAGTTGGTAAAATTTGAGATGAGAGGACATCAGGAAGAATATATGTATATATATAAAGGAAAAAAAAAAAAAACCTTCGAACATCAAAATCTAAGGGCCCCGTTCATTTCACATATTCGAGTTTAGAATTCGAGTTTTGCTACAGTAAAAAGCTCTCAGAAACAGTCACATCTAACTTTTTTACTACAGTAAAAAACTCTCACATAAAATCACATCTCAACTCAAATTAAAAACTCAAATCAGCGAACTAAACGAACCCTAAATTAGCTAGTATGATGTAGAGGTTGGAAATTCTAAACATAAAAGGAAATGACGGTACAAACTCCTATAAGTAGTTATGTCTCTTGGCATGGCACAAAATCTTACCCAATGAATCGCATTAAATAAGTTAGTAAAACTATAATATTTTATTTTTAATATTAGCAAAATTACCTGGGATCATCTGCAGTTGAGAGGTGACTGTTAAAAAACAAAAAATAATAAAAAAAAACCACTGAGGAAAAGCATAGTTTTGTCTTAAATATAAAACTATTGTAAAAGCTTAAAACTTTCGTCAAAATTTGTAAACTAACAACATCATATGATGTCATTGCTCAACCCACAAAATTTTGACAAGTATGCATTCATCACAATAAATTAATTTTTATGATATGTATCATCGTTCTTTCTGCAAGTCCAACGAAATCAGTGTATAAAAGGATTATATATGTGATATGTAAAGAAAGAAAGGGATTAATTACCTATAGATGCAACTAAAAAAAAAAACTATACATGCACGGCAAGGCATTTTTTAAATTCTTCACGCTCACAAACATCTAATTGTCTGAGATAGTCTTTCAGAAAATGAATATTGGATTTCATGGCTTCTTCTACTAATTTAGCCGGACAAAATGCCAAAGCTTTCCCTCTGTATTTATCGGCTAACTGATCAAAACCGCCCCCATTTAACTGACTCAATCGAAAAAACGGACCAAAATTGCTCCCAATTAAACTGACTGAGCAAATTTGATTTTGAAAATGAACCAAACCGTTTAGTTTCTATTTGGGATTTGGTTCGTTTGGTTGAAACCGAACCAAGCTGAATCCCTCATTTAAAAAAAAAATTAAGTTTTGCAATGGGGAAGAGTCAAACCACTAACATTTGTGGACAACTCAAATCGCTTAGCCACTACACCAAACGCAGTTCTTATGTTATTAATGACACGCGGTTATTTTAAAACTATAGTCCGTTTAGTTTATGGATTAGAATCATTTTCGATTTACGTGTATTTTTTGTGAGAAAAAATACTGTAGCGAACCACGAATCATGATTCGAATCAGGGAACGAATTCCTCTACCAAACATCAGTTCACATTGAAGAAGTAATCGAGTTTCACCCTTCCTCACATCTATAAAGGGTTTGAATTTATATGTTGTTTTTTATTTAGCATTAATGGCACCAACTGTCAATAATTTTTTTACAATATGAACTTAAAATCGAAATTAAAAATCTAGGTATAAAGCAGGAAAAAAACCTAACCTAAGATAAACGTGATCGCAAATCAAGAAGTATTTGAATTTATACACTTTTCGTTAGTCAGCGATTGAGGGCACCAACAGTCAATAGAATTTTGTTTTAACTAATTGTAGGTGTCACATTATTTTAATGTGTTGATAATCACCAAAGTAATAAATAGCAATGCTTTGACCTTTTGCTTCTATCTTTTCTTACTTTAAAGAAATTTCCTTCTAATTAACCCAATCCATGTTACACCTTTTTTTTTTTTCTTTTTTTACTCAAGTGATTGATAGTGAATGTGTGATGTAAAGTTCGAATTTTAGTGGTTTTTCCAATAATATATATAAATATACATACATACATATATATATATATATATAAACCAATCGAAACGTTTAAAACAATCATGCGTGAACGTACTGTATATCAACTTGTAAGGACATAACACAATGTCAAATTCACAAGTTAGTTTAAATATTTCTACTCCAAAATTGAAAGTTATATTAAAAAAAAAAAATTAAGGGTCTAGTGTTTTAGGCCTTGTTTGATAGGAAAAGGTAGATCATGAAGGATAGAAAATAGAAGTAGTTGATGAATTTCAAGGCATAATTTATTTGCTAGGAGGAATTTGATGAAGAAATGGATTGAGTATCACATTTAAAAGCATCTATAGGACTCCAATTTTAATCCTTCTAAAGTTGATCAAAAGACCTGAGGAAGGGAACAATATTACAGAAAAAAAAAACAAAAAATCCTCCCCTACTCTGTTCTTTTCACCTAAATTATATACCTCATCGATCACCATTATTTTTATTTAAAGTTAAATTCATGAATAGTCTCTGGATTCTTTTCTCTTTTTACAATTAATCCTTGTTGTCAACTTTTTTTTATGAACAGTCCCTAAACTCTAAAAGTGTTTCATAAATGTTCCATCAGTTAAATTTTAGATGGAAACCGTTAATTTTGTCTCATAAAAGGTCCTTAAACTATTTTCTTTCTTTAAAAATAATTTCTATATCTAAGAGATAAACAATTTTAAATTATAATAGAAATCAGAATTGCAAATCTTTCTCAAAGCTTCAAAACCCACTAATCTAAAAAAAAAAAAAAAAAAGAAAATCCCTAAGATCTAGAAAAATAAAATAAAATAAAAAACCCAAAATTTTAAAATTCCCTCCCCCTCAAGATTTTTTAGATCTGCCAATCCTCCCTTAGCCCCGTGCTCGTCAGCCCTCCCCCTGTCATATGCTCGTCACCTCTGTTGCTTTCCTTCCCCACCCTTGTTACGCACACGCGATCCATCATTGCCATTCATTCCCTCTCTACCCTCATTCGACTCCGGTGAGGCTTTTGGATTTGAACTCAAGAGGGTTTCGCATATTGGAATAACACTTTTCGGCTTCATTGATGGCGGTTCGATTGGTGCTCAAGGCTTGGACGCTTGTTGTAGATTTAGGTTTGCCTTCGTTGCTCTTTGAATATTTTGTGTTTTTACACTAAGGAGGAATTTCTGTGTTGTTGAACTTTTAGATTTAATTTTTTTATATTCATGTTTTTTATGGAGAAGATGACAATCTGGGTTGTTGTTCTTTAGAGATATTCATTTTTTATTTTTTATTTGATTTTTTTAGTTTTTTTATTTTTTTATTTTTACTGATTTTATAAATTTTAATATAATATATATAATTTATTTTAAAGTTTATGGATTAAATTTAGTAAAGAGAAGATAGTTTAAAGACCTTTTATGAGACATAGTTAGTTGTTTTCATCTAAAATTTAATAGAGAAATCATTTACGAGACAATTTTAAAATTTAAGAATTATGCATAAGAAAAATTGACTACAGAGACTAATGATAGAAAAAAAGGTTCAAGTACTATCCCTTTTATTTACTCCTTTCTAGCATACACATTTGTAGTAATATTAATCTAACGAGTAAGGTGTATGGTGCATTTTTTTCTTCTATCTCATGACTCATGAGGTACTTCCATTTGTTATTTATGCATATGGTTAAATAGCATCTTGTAATTTACTAAAAAAAAATAGCACATTCTGCCAAAAAAAAAAAAAATTATAGCATCATGTGTTTGTATTTATTGTAATTTACTTGTAAACTAAACTCAAAGAGTATGAGGTGAATAATAAAGAAAGAAACAAAAACTCAAATTAATGTTGTAAGGATTTTCTTGTTTTTTTTTTCTTTGAGTAGGGCTGTTCATAAACCCGAACAACCCGCAAACTCAACCCACCCCGCCCCAACCCAAGTCGAAAAAAGCAACCCGTAGCATTATTTTTAAATTTGCGGCTCATTATACCTCTGGCCCGAAGTGTTTAGGGCGGATTGCGGGTGAGCCCATAACAACCCGCAATCCCCAACCCAACCCGCACAACATACCCCCAAGCTTTCGGCCTAAGCCGAGCTGCCCAAGTTCTCCCCTAGGCTCGCTAACATTAGGGTTCACAATCTCATTCTCGGTCTCCCCTCCCGTGAACCCCCTCTTCTTGCCTCTTCCTTTTCAGTTTTCCCTCTTCTTCCCCTCCTGTGAACCCCCTCATAACTCTCTCCTCATTGCTTAGTCCTTTCGGCCGCCGTCTTGCCTACTTTCTCCGGGGCTCTCTCACCGGACTGATAAGGATGGTTGCTATTTCTATTTAATAATGAAGTTTGAATATTATATTAAACTTTAAGTTTTTGATTTTTTGAATGTTAAAACCGACCACCCAACCCACTCCGCACCGCCCCAACCCAACCCGAACATCGTTGGGTTGTGAAATTTTTCTAACATCGTTGGGGCCAAATATGTACAACCCACACCCTTTGGAGCGGGAAAAAAAAAATCCTACCCCGCACCAACCCAACCCATGAACAGCCCTATCTTTGAGTGAATGTTGTAAGAATTTTGTTAGTATCGAAACAAATTATGCAAAAAATAAAAGGAAAAATGATTGCTGAGTAATTAAAATTTGTAGTTGTTACTTTTAAAAAAAGAAAAATTGTAGTTTTTAAACAGTATTTAACTACACCTAATAAGCTAATCGCTGATTATGCAGAATAATCCAGACAAAAGATAGATCCTCAAAATTCTAACCGTTGGACAAAAACAAAAAAGTGCAATTATTTCCTGCGGTGACTTCCATCAGTGACCAACATACTTAACTCACACTTTTCCATCATTGCCAAAATCATTAGTCTCACTCTAATATTTTTGACACGCGTCCGATCCAAACAAATACAAAAGAAACGGATGCAGACAATTCCAGCCCCATCCAACGACTAATCGTCAGACGTGGAAAGAAAGATCCAGACGTTTCACCGTTGGATTGCGCGCGAAAGCTCTCGAACTTCGGAGACAGATTTTTTTCTCTTTCTTTTCCAGTGAAGAGTTATAAAATGGCTAATATCTGAGCTCAAAATTTTCACGACAGAAAAAGAAAAAGCGAATTCGAAGCCAAGAGAAGCAGAAAGAGAAGGATCCGATTTCTTTTCCTTTTGGGTTTGCGGAACGATTTTCGCCGATAACTGAGTCATTTGGATTTGTGGAACCGTCTGGTGTGAAGCGATCATTTTCCGTTTCTTTGTTTTTTCCTTGGAAAATATTTCAGATTTTCTCGATAAAGTTTTAAAAAGTGTAAGTTGTTTTTCCCCTCATTACCTTCATTTGGTTTAATTTTTATTGGCCTCTGTATTTCGATTGCTTCTCTCTGATTTTCTAAGTTGTGTGATTCTGGAGTAATTGTGTATATTATAATATCCTTTGTCGCGACAATAAACACTGAATTCTGGGATTTTTTTTTTTTTTTTTTGGTTTTTAGGAAGTATAAATACCTTTATAATGTTGTACAATGAGTTCAACTAGGATTGTTTTTATTTTGAGCTAAGACGTTTGCAGTAGGAAATGAAATCTTTATATTTCTTATTGGGAATTTCAACTTTTAGACTAAAAGAACGTTATGGAGTTATTACGTGATGTAGTTAAAAATTTTAAAAAAGTTTCAACTTCCCAAAGTTTGATGGGAGACAAGTACACAAACTAATGACTTTAAGAAAAACACTAGATGTTCTTCTTTTGTTTTTTTTCCATGGCATCTGATAATCTTTATGGTATTTGAATATATGGATTTTGGACATTAACGGACACAGTATAATTTCTAATTTGTTTCCTGTGCAGTTGGGTTTTAATAGGGCGGGCAAAAAAATGATGCCTGTATACAGATACATGGACTCATACCCACACCAAGGAGGCCAAACTGGGTACCAAACATTCCCAACTTATATTCCAGTTGAACCACCGAAGTCCGCAATGGTATACGAGTCTTGGCCCAATGGTGGCAGCTATGGCTATCCAATGCCTCCTTCCCATTCATGCTGCAACCATGGAAACTTCCCTGGTTTTCGTGGTTTCAGACCTTCTTATCCTCAGCCAATGCAATCTCCAGTTCACTTTTGTGGTGGTTATCCCATGACTTTTCCAGTTTATTATGTCCCACCTCCGCATTATTCTTCAGAGCTGCCCAGATATGAATTTGATAAGAACATGCCTGGAAGGTATGAATGCTGTGGGCGTCCGAACCACCCTTCCCACCAGAGAGGAGATAGTGGTTTGAGGATTGAAGAAGAGGAGCCGGATGTCGTGGAAAAGAAGGGGAATGAATCTTTGGCCCCGGTCCAGACGAGGAATTATCCGTACCCAGTTGTGTGGATTCCACCAGAGTATGTGAAAGAGCAACCAAGGCCATTTGAACCGAAGGTGGAAGAGCTGGAGAGTTTTCCGCACAAAACCAACCAAGGTGAAAGGAAAGATTGTCGCGGTGAGGAACCGAAGATTGGGAACGGATGTCTCCCTCTTGATGCAGACAAGATCAAGTATTTGATAAATGGGGGAGATGGGAAGAGAACTCAGGATCAGAAGAGTGAGGAGCAAAAGAAGGATTTCCAGTTTCCAGTAATCTGGATGCCTTCTTATGATAGTAGAAGGGAAGAAAGTGGAAAGAAAGAAAACAAGGATGTAAATGGTGGTCAGGATCAGAAGAGTGAGGACCAAATGAAGCAATTTCCATTTCCCATTGTCTGGCTGCCTCCTCATGACAAAAAGCGAGAAATGGGCAAAGGTAATGATTGTAAGGAAATCAACGCCTCTTCAAATTTTGCTGAAAATCCACCATATATATTCAAGTTGGTACCAATGAGGCATCTTGAAGGCAATAACAACATGGAAAATTGCAAAGTGAATGAAGAGAATCATGCTAGCAAGAATGAAACCGAGATGAAGGAGAAGACTGCTACTCAGAGAAACATACCTGTGAAGCATGTCGATCCACGTAAGGAGGACAAATCAGAAGAAACTGAGAAAAAGGGTAAAGTTTTTCCTGTGAAGCAAGTGGAGGAAACCATTACGAGCAACCCTTCTGGAGACAATGATAAAAAGCAATCCTCATCATCACCCAGATCATCTAAGCTACCTCCCGTTTGTCTGAGAGTTGATCCTTTACCGAAGAAGAAAAATGAGAGTTCGAGGTCTCCTAGTCCTAAAAAAAATGGGAGTTCAAGGTCTCCTAGTCCTCCTAGTTTGAAAGAACGTTCCGAGCAGAAGTTGGACGACGCAATGAAGGCCTCTGTTCAGGCAAAAGAGAACACGAAGCAGGCTTCAGTTCAAAGTCCTCCAGGCGACAACAAGGAGGTGGAGACAAAGAAAAGGGAGGCAAAAGAAATTCCAGTGGTGGAGAAAACAAGTGATGGGCCTAAGGTTTCTGCTCCTTCTGCAATGCACACCAGTGCTGAGGTATCCGAGAAGTCTACAACTCAGAAAATGGCGGAACCACAGGAAGCTACAGATTTACCCACAGCTAGTAATGAAAGGAAGCTTGAAAAGAAGACATTGTCAGATGTGGAAGCTGCTGTGCTTATTCAATCTGCCTACCGTGGGTTTGAGGTGAGAAGATCCGAACCAATCAAGAAATTGAAGCAAAGAGCTGAAGTGCGGGAGCAGGTGGCCGATGTTCGAAGTCGCATTCAAGCTTTGGAGTCGTCTTCCGACACCCAAAGAGATGCTAAGCAGAAGCTGTTAATTGAAGAAACCATAATGAGACTTCTGCTGAAATTGGATGCTATTCAGGTACGTCTTCTAGAGACTAACTTCAACTTTCTTTTCTTTTTACTTGAAAAATAACATTTACACACAGACACACACATATATCCATCGTCGCTGCCTCCTTGGTAGGAACATGGATTTTGGTCCACAAACAAACACAACTTTCTTGTTTCATGGTTGAACTTTGATAACTCTACTTATGGTTTGAATTTGGTGATGGTTGCCTCATAGGTTAGTAACATGGTTGTGCAATAGAGAAATTTTTTAAAGGGTTGACATGTCATGTGGAGTAACCATAAAGCCTTTCTGATCATGAAAAATCAATCTTTGTGTTCTAACAGGAAGGCGATGTAACATTTAATTACTTTTTTCATGTTTTCCCATGTGCAATTTTATTGGAGCTTGCTAGAATAATTTGATATCTGTGTTTAAAAGTATGCTTATTTTTGTCTCTCTCCTGCATAACAGGGTCTGCACCCAAGTCTTAGAGACATCAGAAAATCTCTGGCAAAGGAGCTTGTGACTCTGCAGGAGAAGCTCGACACCATTGCAATTACTAAATCCGAACAACCAAAAGTAGAGGTATGCCCCATTGAACCTGTTGAACCTGTGGAGACCAAAATCAATGAATGCAAGTTAGAGGAGGAAAAACAGGAGGAAATGGGAGGCTCTGGATGTTCTGATATGGTACACTCCTGTGGGGACAAGCTTCTTTCAGCAATGGATTCTGAGGACAAGTCCAAAAGTGAGGAAGCTTTACTCTCTCGCTCTCATAAAGTAGTGCAGCACCTAATATCTGAAGACAATCGCCGGGAACGAGTGGCCAGTGATCTCAAGCCGCAAGAGCCCAATTCAGAAGCCATTATGGAACACAAAGATGAGGTGAGAGACCGAGAAACTGATACACGCGCAAAGGAATTGATGGAGACAGAAGGAGTGAATAATGCTTCCGAGTGTGAGCAAGCTGTTGAAGTTTCTGTAAAGGAAGATGAAAACAATTCTGATATGCCAGCAAACTCTTTCGAAGCTGTTGATGGAACATGTGCAGATGACAATGTGGAGATGGTTTTGGATGAGTTACCTGTAAATGTGATTGATGAAGAACATGTTGAGTCTGAAAAGGATGAACAAGCAGAGATGGAAAAGACAACAGCTTATGGGGCTGTATCATCAGAAGCAACCTTGCCAGGTGATACCGAAGGGCTGATGTCTTCGCAGGAAGAGGCAGAGATGAGTGAATTGGCAGAACTGCCTGTAGGGGTAATTGATGAGGACTCTGAAGCCTCAGTTGAAATGGACAAGAATGGTGATCTACTGGGAAAGGAAAGTGAATTCCAGAGCACAATCGAAACTCCAAATGAAAATGAGAAATCAGAGGAAGGGCTTGAGGAAAATCCTAAAGTGGAAATGGAAGAATGTGTAAAGATTGAATACGAGGAGAACCAGAAGCTTCCTGTGGCTTCAGTGCCTGAAGAGGACAATGAAGGCTTATTCGTATCTAAATCAGAAGAATTGCAACCAGTTATTTCGATGGCTGATGAGCAAAGTGGAAATGCTTTTCCTGAAGATGAATGCATGTCTGCAAATACGGCAAGGGGCAAGGACGTTCCGAATGAAGAAAAAAAGCATTTGCCATCAGTCACTCCAGATGAAGTTAAGGAGACACAAGAGATGGAAGTTCAAGCCGAAAATCAATTAGAATTTGCATCTGGTGAGAAGATGGAGGACAAATTGGATGGCTTAGAAATCGCCAACAACAATGAGGAGGTATCTGATGGTTCAGAATTTACTCCACTGCTTTTACAAGCTGAACACGAAGGAGAGTCTTTGCTTGCATCACCAACTTGCAGCCAAATGTCTACCGATGAACACGAGACGAAGAGCCAAAGTGACAAATGGCTTACGGAAGAGAATGAGAAACTAAGGGAGATGATGGAGAAGCTGATTGAAGCTGGGAAACAACAGTTAAATGTCATCACCAACTTGAATGGAAGAGTCAAAGACTTGGAGAAAAAACTGTCCAGGAAGAAGAAACTAGGCACAAAACCGAGAAGATCAGCAGCATGTGGAACCTCTCGCTTGAAACGCTCAAATCTGCATGTTAATAAGGAGAGCTGTTGGTGTTGCAATGTAGACAGTTTGTTCACTTTGTCTTTCAACTAAACCGTTGTTGTGAACATGTTTTGGTGTGGGCTTTGAGTTTTTCATGATCTTCTCTTGTTGTATAATGTAAAGGTAATACTTATAAGTAATATATAGTTTTTCTTGTGTTGTTTTTTTTTTTTGTGGATTCTTTGCCAGTCTGATTTTTGTTTAATTTATTCTTGAGGAGACGAAAAGAACCAACAATTTGCTGCAACATGAAACATGCGAAGCAAAAATAATAACCCTTACAGAACTCGTTATATGTCAAACATTTTCCTATACTTGTCTGTTAGTACGTGTGAAATGCTCTTGATGGAATTTTTTTGTGACCCAAAAAAGGACTTGATATGAAATTCGTCTATTACATTTTTTGTTTCTTTGAAATTCGTAACTTGTATTTCAAATTAAAAAAATACACACTAATCTCGATTACAATAACAATTAAATAACTCCTTAACTCTAATACGCAATTGATTTCATCAGTATAATATTAAGATCTATTTAATTCGTTAATTCAAGTTAAGATGTGATTTTATGTAAGAGGTTTTACTGTAATAAAAAAAAATATTACTATTTTTTAAAACTTTTTAATGTATTAAAATTTAAATTTTAAATTTAAATCGAGACTTTAGCGATGCGAAAAGGGTAAAATATGTTTCATTTTCTTGGCTAATGAAATATGGTACAATTGTAGTGAGGGCTGAGGCACAGCTAAGTACCAGCTATCTACAGTTATCTAGAAAGCCTGGTGTGTTTAATATACGCACTCAAATTACCAGAAAAAAACAGAAACTAACCGAAAGTCTCTTTTTTTTTTTATTTTTGGAAACTAACCAAAGTCTTGACAGCTGTAATCCCAAAAAATTATTGTTTCTCTGGAAAGCACACCTTGAAAGAAAGCTCGTGCCTCTCTCCCTTCTATGTTTCTTTCCTATTAAGAAAAAAAAAATCTAAATAAAAAGCAAAAGTAAAAAGGGGAATAACTTTTCTTTTTATTCACCGATATGGACCACCGGAAGTGCCACTCCCTATCGCAGCCAATCGGGAACGTCAATATCTCTCTTTTCTCTCTTGATCAAATCAAGACCGTCTATCTTGCCGGGAGATGATGAAGAAAGAAGACGGAGAGATGTCGCCTGTTCTGGAGATCAACCTGATCTCCGCTCAGGGCCTCAAGCCTTCCTCCGGCAGCTCGCGGCCCGTGCATACGTACGCGCTCATCTGGATCGACTCCACCACGAAGCTCCGCACCGGTGTTGACAAAGTTGGCGGCGAGAACCCTACCTGGAACGACCGGTTCCTCTTCCGAGTCACCCCGGAGTTCCTCTCCGGCGACACCTCCGGCATCTACGTCGAGATCTACACCGTCGGCCGGATCCGCGATTCTCTGATCGGGACCGTCCGACTCCTCATCGGCAACTTCCTCGACGTCCGCGCCAAGACCCCGTCTTTCACCGCCCTCCAGATCCGGCGACCTTCTGGAAGATTCCACGGCGTCCTCAACGTCGGCGCAACCGTCATCTCCGGCGCCGATTTCGCAATCGCCTTGAGCAACAGAAGCGCGATTGCCTACCGCGATCTCATGGGAGAAAGCTTCAAACGCCGCGTTCGCCGAAAAGATCGGCGGAGTGAATCGGAGAATTTCACAGAGGGATCTCGCGAGAACTCACTCGCCGAGTCGGTGGATTTCTCCGACGGAGACGAATCGTGGACGTCGTCCTCATCAACGGCGTCGACGGCGCTCAGGGACTTCAATGGGATCAGAGAATTGGTGGGACCCAAGGCTTTGAAGGCTTCTCAGTGTTCGGGATTCTTGTGCGGTTTGTTATTCCAAAGAGCGATTCAACCTTGTCCGTCCGATGAGAAGCTTGAGGATTTCGGTGGGTCCCAAGAGATGGAAAGGTGATGGGAAATCAATCGAACGGTGCAGATCATCATATTGAAGAATAGTGGATGTCCATTTTCAGCCGTTCGATACTAGTATCTTGAGATCAGTGAACGGTGGAGATCATCTTAGCTTTATGTGTCCTAATTCTTTGTAGTTTCACTAGCAAATTTTCTTTGTAGCTTGGTACACACTACTGAGATAGTGTAAAATTCAATTCATTGATATTCTTTGGGTCTTTTTTTTTTTTTTTTTAATATTCATGTTCTTCGTTTTAGTTGCAACTTAATTTGATCTTAACGACCACCTATTTCATAGTTGATTTTGGATTTCACTATAGTGAACATGATGTAGCGGATCTCATTCTTATTCTTATAGAGATTGCATTTGATTTAAATTAATATCAAAATTTGTTAATTCTTTGAATTATTTGAACAGTCCATTAAAATTAAAGAGAGAATTAAACTAAATAAAAAAAATGGAGAATTTATCCTTAAGAGGACATGAGCATAAACTTTTACTCATTACTCTTGATAAATACCTTTGTTAGTGTAATTATTTGATTAAAAAAGTTATAAATAAAAATTAAAATGTACAAATACTGATTTATACATTTTCAAGACGTATATTATCTAATGAAATAAACAAGTGGTCATTCAATTTTACCTAACCAATTCACAAATCATTCATTTTTTTCTCTCTCTAATCTAGTTGCCTAGTTAAATTATAGCCGGGTTCCTCTAATTTTCCTACAAGTCCCTCCCAGTAGTTAAGTAGAGATATCCCTAGTTAAAAGACAAACTATGGCCCCGTTTATTTCACATATTCGAGTTTCATTATAATAAAAAACTCTCAGAAACAGTCACATCTAATTTTTTTGCTACAGTAAAAAGCTCTCACATAAAGTCACATATCAACTTAAATTAAAAACTCGAATCAGTGAACTAAACGGGCCCTATATTCCTTTGTTTATCTGTTAACAAGGATTCGTTAAGATTAAGGTTCTCATTAATGGCTGCACAATTTTAGTAAGTATATCTCTATCCCACTAGCAATTATGTCCCTCTATACAGGGCCCAACACACAAATTCCTTTGTCAAGCTCATGGTGGTTTCCTAGTCATCTAAGATGTTGGGTAGACACCACATGTGAAACTGGTCCAACACATTTCAGGAGTCCAACTTGAAGTAAAACGTTAACCTATTAGGTCTTGGGTCCTTCTATGTATATAAACCACGTCACATTCTCATCAACTTTCCATGTGGGACAACACACACATGTATTTTTCTCAATAATCTCCCCCTCATGTGTGTGTTCACCGAGCTCTCCCTCAAATTAAAGTTTCAAGTAGCTGGCACATACAAGCATCACACTCCAAATGGGAGCCAACTCAAGCATGGGAAAGAGAGCCGAAATCATGCCCCAAATGCTCCACCATCTGCGCACCTGTGGGAATACCAACTCTCCACGAGAGGCAATGTGGGAACTGCAACCGAGTATGGTCACTTAACCCATACGAACCTAGCTCTGATACCACTTGTTGGGTAGACACTACATGCGAAACTGGCCCAACACACTTCAGGAGCCTAACTTGACCCAAAAGGTTAACCTATTGTGCGTGTTTGTTTATGTTTTTGAAAACGTTTTTCACGTTTTTCGAGGATAAGAAAATGAAAATGAAAGGGAAATTGTGTTTGGGGCGATACCATACAAAAATCAAAATCAAAAGCGTTTTTGTCATCTTCCCAAAAATTGAGGCATTTCTGAAAATGAACAAAAGTCGTTTTCCATTTCCCTATTTCCCCATTTTCATTTTCTCCACTCTTCTGTGACTGCGTGCCC